TACCAGCTGTACAAAAAAGGAGGTGTCACATTTCGTCCCATATATATTTTTTAAGGCTTGTAATAAAAAAACCCTTTGCTTCCGCGGTTCTGTTTTGAACTTGTTTTATATTTTCGCTCCTTCCAGGAATTTTGTGAAATATTTATAATAAAACGCAGAATTTTCCTACTGTTTTTTTCTATAAACGGTGTTTTATTTGGGCACTGTATGTGATACCTTAAACCTTAGTTCATCATCATTACAGCCTTTCATAAGGCCACTGCTGAATATAGGCCTCCCCCCAGGGGAGGCCACAAAGCACTGTCCTGAGCCACCTGCATCCATCGACTTCCTGTATGTCTTACTAGGTCGTCACTCCATTTCGTGGGGGGTCGCCCTACACTTCGCCTATCGGTACGAGGCTGCCACCTTTCTTCCCCATTGGTTGTCGGTTTTTCGAGCTATATGGCCGGCCCACTGCCACTTCAGCTTACTAATCCGTTGGGCTATGTCGGTCACTCTCGTTCTACTGCGGATATCCTGATTTCTAAGTTTATCACGCAGAGAAACCCCGAGCATAGCCCTCTCCATAGCTCCTCCACCTTGAGCTTCCTCATACGGCCAGCAGTGAAGGACCACGTCCTTAGTTACAAACCTTAGTTACTAAAATATAAATTACAGTCATGTGTCGATACTTGGTGGCCCTAGAGTCTTTATAAAAATATCAAATATGCTGGTTGTGGCTTTTCTAAAAATATGTTTTAGAAAAGCCACAACCAGCATATTTCGCGTTTTTTATGAACTCAAAGTGCTTTCTGGCTCCCTGATAATCTAAGTTTTGCAAGAAGGAGGTTACATGTTCGTTTTTTACCCAAAAACGTTCAATAATAATATTTATTTAAGAATTAAGAATCAATATTTGGCGGTCCAAGATTCGAACTTTCGCGGTCCGTTTGCGGATCCTCCTGTTGCTGACCGATGCACTAGACCAGTGGTCGGCAAAGTGCGGCTCCAGAGCCGCATGTGGCTCTTTGGCTCCTTAAGTACGGCTCTGGCACAAATATCCACGGAAGGCGCTATAAAATTGTCATTTAGAAAAAGCTCGGTAAAAAATGCATCTTATTTTGATAAATTAAAATTCTTCTATTAATCGAGAACATGTATAATTTTTTGTTTAAGTTAAAAGATAGATAGGTAATTAAAATTTTATATTGTTGTAAATATATGTAACGAACATCGAGTTTCATTTTATTAGTTTTCGTAAACGTAATCACAAATCATCTACAAGCTAGCGGCTGAAATTGTTCATATGTTTTCGGCGTACTTCGGTGTGATACAAAGGTACTACAAGCATACGCGCATATTTTTTCTAAAGTAGTGGGTATACAAATTGGCATCACAGACCAGCAATTGCATTGCAGTGTGAACAGTTTTTGTCTTATCTACCGTGTCTGCCTTTGTCCTGTCTTATTAAAAAGTTTTTGTATTTTTCAATCTAGCTTTACATCTTCAAGGTATTTTTATACTATTTTATTACACCTGCTATGTATGTTTGTGGTTCCGGTACAAAAGTTGTAATCAATTTTTCGATAACTTCTATTTGTACAAATGTTGGAAGTTTTCTTCCATTTTTGGTCATATTAAAAGTTTTGTTATTCTGATGATAGAAAAATATTTTTTTTTGTGTTTTTACATATACTAATAAAATTATATATTTTTTTAAATATTTGTTTTAAATTTTTATTTTCATCAATTTAATAATGATAATAACTTTGTACTGGTGGCTTCAGAAAAAATATATTTGGAATATTTTTTATAGGCACACCAATTAACATGGCTACCAAAAAAAAAGCAAAGAAAGACGGAGGAATGAAAATCGCGAATTTAAAGTTGAGTGGACTGAGAATTTTGCGTTTATTCAAAACTTCAATGGACTTCCGACATGTCTTATTTGTAAGGAGAAATTCGCGCATAACAAGAAGTCAAATTTAGAGAGACACTTTACAAGAAAGTACGCGTCATATAGCACTAAATATCCTACCGGTGATGCAAGGAAGGAAGCAGTTGAGGAACGTCAGAAGAGTCAAGAGTCGTATAATTCTGTTTAATAACTGGATGCAATCTTCCAGCAATATTAATATGGCAAGTTTTGTTTTTAGCCAAGAGATTGCTAAAAGAGGGAAACCGTACACAGACGGCGAATACATAAAAAATTGTGTTGTAAATGCATCCGAAGAGCTATTTCGGGATTTTAAGAACAAAGCAGATATTCTGAAAAGAATTAAAGAGTTACTATTGTCTGCCAAAACCATTAAAGATAGAACAATTAAAATGTGTCCGAATATAACCACCCAGCATATCGAAGCTCTAAGATTTGTTTCGGCTTTATTGACGAGTCTTGTGGCATAAATGATACAGCGCAAGTTTCACTTTTTGTAAGTTTTATGTCTTATTCAGGCCCTAAAGAAGAACTTTTAAGATTATTACCACTCAAAGGTCAGACGCGTGGAAGATATCGCAAATGCTGTAATTGAGTGTATGGATAAACATCATATTCTCCTCGATAAAATTGTGTCGATTTCAACAGATGGGGCCATAGTATAACCGGCGTAAGAAAAGGGTTCCTGCTATTTTGTAAAAAAAAATTAATCACGAGATACTTGTTTACCATTGTATCATTCACCAAGAAGCGCTTTGTGCGCAATCATTTCCGGATGGAATTTGTAAAGTTATGGAATTAGTAATTACCATTATCAACTCCATTTTAGCTAAAGCTCTTATTCCTCGCCAATTCAAAGAATTTTTATTTGAAATGGAGAGTGAGTACGCTGATCTTCTGCTTCATAACAAGGTACGTTTTAAAACGTTTCACGTCCCTTTTTCCAGTAATTAAAGCACTATCCAGAACTAACAGACGATCAGTGGATCCAAAACTTTTATTTCATGGTAGACGTAACGTGTCATCCAAATCAGCTTAATCGTAAACTACAAGGGAAAGGAAACTTAATTATTTCGATGTTAGAAGAAGTAATAACATTCGAAAAAAATTATCCATTTATGCTCAGGATTTTGAAAGAGAAACATTGTTTCACTTTCCGAGCCTGCTGAGGCATCGCCAAGGAAATAATTCCTCTATTGATAAATACCGTTTTAAAACAATAATTTTAAATATGAGGGAAGCATTTCTCAGCATGTTTCAGGAATTTAAACAAAACAAAAGAGCAACTTTAGCATTTGTCAAATATCATCTTAATGCTACGATAACCGAGTTGAAATTTTCTCCTTTTGAAATTGACATTGGTAGCTTTGAAATACAATTGCTGGCTTTGAAAAAAACAAGCTTCGAACGTCCTTGTGTGGAATTGGAAAAATATTGGAGAAGAAAAAATGTGATCTTAGTTCACAACACAAGTGGTCTGCTTTGAATGACCTGGAGAAGGAAGACATGATTATTTTCAACGTTCGGAATAGTATTCCTGACTTACGATCAGCTGAAAAAGCTCGAGTTTACTGTTCTTTCCCTTTTCGGTTCCACATGTATATGCAAACAATTTTTTCAAGCATGAACATTATCAAGAGTAAATTGAGAAGTCGTTTTATTGATGAGAACTTGGAATCATGCCTAAAATTTAAAACAACAACATACAAACTTACCAAGGAGATGCAAGCACATTATTTGCATTAATAAATATTTATTAAGTATGAAATTTAGTTTTATTTAGTGTACTACTTACTTAGTGTAATAAACGTTAAAAGCAGATTTGGCTCCCAACTTTTTTTTTAATTGTTATAATATTCATATTTGGCTCTTTGGCTAATAAGTTTGCCGACCACTGCACTAGACGATCGTCCTACTCCAAACGTTTGCCCGTTCATCACTCAAATTACGTGACCAAAACAATTAGGCGCATGACAGCTAGGACGTCATTAGAATTAGAAAGGGAACGGTGATTGTTCACTAAGTGCGGGGTGCGGACGCCAAAACCGCATTCCTGTCATGTGCCTAATTGTTTAGGCCAAGTTGTACTAATGTTAAACACTCGCTGCTCGCGGTGCAAAAAAATGGGGAGTGCGACAGAGAGTGTAAAGCGCAACAGACTCCTATTTCCCCATTTTATTGCACCGCGGGCCAAGCAACCACGCTTCCGTATTGACGGCAAGGAAAATTAAAAAAAAAAGACCCAACTTAAAAGAAAGATGTTCGATGTTAGTTATTTGTCGAAATGAAACAGTCTGATGTATGAAGGATTAGTTCGTGTAAATGAAGATCTTTAATGTATTGATTTATCAACGCCACCGCCGATCGCCTGTAAGCGTGGCCGAAACACTCCGTTCAAGTACAGAACGGTTAAAACCTCTGGAGAATTTGTGCTTTGAGCTTCTTTGTAAAAATTAATTTTTGTTTGTTCGTATGTTATGCGCTGCCATAGCGTTCATCAGATTGTGGTAAAACTCTGTTAACTTATTGCTTGCACTTGCGCGAAGGTTTTAGGCATAGTACAATTAACTTAAACTAGGTGGCGCGTGTATCGTACAGCCACATTTATTTGAAAGTTATATATCATTCAATGAATGTATTATTCTTCCTAATTAAACAATATAACTCTTCGAAATTTAAAACCACATTTTTTTAAAGGATAGGGTGACAAACGAGCACACAGTCCACCCGATTGCAAGTGGCAGCCGTGGCCCATAGACATCTACATCTATCCTCAATAAAGAATCAAAATGCGTTGTCACCCGTGAGGACTAAGATAGAATACCTATTTTTCAGTAAAAAGGATCTCCGGTACTGTACACCCACCACATGAAACACAGCAGTGTTAAGCTGCTATTTTACGCTGGTATTCAGTGAGAGCGTGGTTCTTCCCCGGTCGAGCCGACCCATTCGTGCTAGAACTATACTACTAATATAGCTGCAGCATGCCTCTACCACGTATAAAACATTTTCACAATTATTTCTTCTGCTGCAGCAACGCGGCGGGCACCACCTAGTACATAATAAAAGCCAAACACCAATTATGTATATATCAATATAATGATAATCTAAATTAGACATCTTTGTCAACTTAATTTCGATTATTTTCTATAAAAAGAACATTGCTGTGGAATTTCTATCGCAGTTTCTTCTCCGGTCATAGTTACTTATTTCAAAACACTAATATAAGACTTAATAAATGACGTTTGACAAACGAAATTTTACTTTAATACGTCGAAGAAATAAAGATATTTCATATGAGATATGCCTGAAAGATCTGATGGCCTCCGATAGATGATGATACAACTATAACCATCCCCTGTAACATACGTTGTACCCATACCGGCGACGGGGTGTAGCGTCGAAGTTGTGAGACATCTAGTACTGCGATCCTGCCAAGCGTGGCGAAAAATTCTCCCTAAAGCCCTATATCCGCAGCGAAATTTTGCGGCTCATGATTGTATTTTTTAAACAACATACAAAAACTGTAGAAGACTTTTAGGATAATATACAACGAGTAACAGAAACCCTGTTACTGTTAAATGCGTTATCAGTGTCAGTATACAAACGTAAAGAAATAACTTTTTTTTTTCAAAAAACTTCAACAATTTAATTTTAATAAAAAAATTATTTGCAATTTGTATGTGGTTTTGTTACCTCTAACTGACACGAGCATCGGTGAAGGGGGGGTCTTTCACAATTCTCTTATTGTCCGGATAATGCAGAGTGAATAAAACCACATACAATTCGCAAATTATTCTTTTAATTAAAATATTTTTTTTTTAATGTTCAAGTTTTTTTGAAAAAAAAAGTTATTTCTTTGCGTTTGAATACTGACTGTGATAACACACTTAACGGGAACCACACAGGGTTTTTGTTACATGTTGTATAAGAATTTGTGGTGGTGGTTGAATAACAAAGTTTCTATCTTATAGTACATAATTAAATAAATATAATAACATATTTATTACTAGAAACCTCTATTAACTATACATCACAATGTTCATCTTTTGAGTACATCAATAAAAGTATTTCTAGGTATTTTGATGTTGGCTACACTTCGCATTTTCTTTTTACCCTCTGCTTGTTGTTTTAACAGCTTTTTCCTGCGTGTGACATCACCTCCGTACTGTCAAATAAATAGCAATAATATATATAAAACAAATTTTATAACAAAGTTCTCTCACCCTGTTACAAAATAATTTATGACATGTTTATAGTCCACGAGTAAACCGATTTCAATCTCTGGCGGCATCAGTAAAATTTTTGATTGCAACTGTAAGTGTCGATTTAACACGTTCTCGGTGATGAACGAATCGTTAGGAAACCTGCATGTCTGATATAAAGTATTATGAGGACATGTGAAATTCGACAACACGCGCTGAAGTAGCGCGACCTGCTAATACTACCCCATAATCTTCTCATGTTTGAGAGGAGCCCTGTGCTCAGTAGTGGTACGTAATAGACTGTAACTTCACTTCGCTTTTATACATGGTATATAATATAGGCATTGAAGGACAGGGATATAAAAAAATAACCATCTTCTATACTAGATAATTATGATAAACCTCAAGATACCTAATTAATAATATTAAGATTCATGTTTCTCAAGTCATTACAGACCCCCCTCGCTCTAGGCTATGACCACCTAGCCATAGAGTATCTTCTAAACAGGGTCATCATCATCATCGTTACATCCCTTCACAAGTCAACTGCTGAACATAGGCCTCCCCCAAGGAATGCCACAAACGACGGTCCTGAGCCACCTGCATCCATCGACTTCCCGCATGTCTTACCAGATCATCACTCCATTTAGTGGGGGGGACGCCCTACACTTCGCCTACCGGTACGAGGCTGCCACTCGAGAACCTTTTTTCCCCATCGGTTTTCAGTTCTTTGAGCTATATGGCCGGCCCATTGCCACTTCAGCTTACTAATCCGTTGGGCTGTCTAGATTTATGTAGTCTAAACAGGGTGACCCACACTAAATATAACAATGGAACAACAACAACTTTTAAGTTAAATCGTAACCACCTAAATGGGACGAGCAACAAGCAATTTGCCATATTTTCGACATTGATATAACCAAGGCAAACCTAAAATTTGCGGCAATTCGGTATGTAAAGAAAATTATAAGCTATGCTGGTTTTAAAACTGTTACAAGATTGTAATAGGTCTTAAAAATAATGGATTTTGAATTGAATTTATTTTATGAAAAATGCATGATAATCGAAATGATTTTCATTTACCAAATGACGTTATAAATTAGGCTGAATGAAGTGAGTGAATCTGTGGTCTATGCTCAATAGTGGACTTTTTAAGGATGTAAACATGTAATGAATGGATGAATGGAAGTGAGGCCAATATTTAGTGATTTAAAAAGTAATTATATTGCAAGATGGTAAAGCGCATTGCTTTAGCTTAATAAAAGTAAAATGTCGCGGGGCAGACGCCGGCAAATTATTCCACTCCTCTGCTGTACGCGTTACGAACGATGAAGCAAACAGCTTAGTTCGAATGTGTTGAATGTCTACAATAAAAGGGTGGACCACTTGCAGTGTCCGGTTGTCCCATGGTAAAAGGGAGAGGTAGGAACTATGTCATGCAATTGGTACTCTCTCCAAAGTATTATATTCTGTGTCAAAATGTATCTTGTAGAAAACCGCAATAAATTTTAAAACTTAAATTCTTTCTTGTTTTTACAGTAAATGAGACTAAAAATTATTGCACATTTATAAGTTTAAGGTATGGTTATTATGGGAAAGAAATCTAAATATTATGAATGTTTTTTGAAACTTACCAATTTAGCAGTTACATCTTTTCTGTACGCTTTTAGTGTTTCTCTTGCATACACTTTCCCAGAGACTACTGCTTGAATTGCAACCTGAAATTGGAGATCTTTTTTGTAATAGTGTATTTCCATCAATAATAAGTATAATCCAAATGCAGGTTACGATGGGGGCCTACCTAATTTATAAGTAGCTAAAGCAAACAAAATGATAAATGACAAGCTATTCCTATGATAAAACCTAAAAAAAAATTGTATGTGGTAATGGGTCAGCTGGACTGGGGCAGGACCACGCTCTCGCAGAATACCAACGTAAAATAGCAACTTAATGCTGCTGTATTTCGTATGGTGAATGTAGGGAACCGGAGACCCTTTTTACTGGAAACGAAGCATTCCATCTTAGTCCTGAGAGGTGACAACACATCTGCATTTTGATTCGTTATTGAGTATTAATGTAGATGTCTATGGACCACAGTATCCACTTACCATCAGGTGGGCTGAATGCTCGTTTATCACCCTTATTCTATAAAGAAAAATCTTCATTATTTACTCTACAATATATAAGTAGTGACAAGTGTTAGGATTCTGTCTGGGTAGGTACCACCGCTTAAGCGGGGAATTCACTTGACGGACATGCCCGCGAGCATGTCTGTCGGGGCATGTCTGTTGCCGCAATACACTACACAGACTAATCAGTATGTTTTAGACCAGTTACGTGATTACCAGTGGTAAAGTAAAAAATAACTTTCAATAAGAATTACACATGTGATCTATATTTAATAAAAAATTATTCTATTCTATTCAATTCTATTAGTTGTGCATGCATATTAAGATGAAAACGAAATGACGAAAAATTGCCGATTAACCGATTCGTTGCGGCACCGATTTTCGACAACTTTATACTAATACAAAATTTTCACGACACGCCTTTTGTGCCATCAGCCATGTGCAAAAATAATTTTCTTTCTTATGCTAAGTTTAGGTGACATCAAAAATCAGTTACAAACGGAAGGATATTTTTAGTGGGTAACTACGTGTTTTTCTAAGTGTTTTCTTTGAAATTGGGAGTAAATGACTTTTTTATGCAGAGATTACAAACCTTTTGTACTATTTATTGTTTTATAAAAAAATATTTATATAAGTAACAACATATTGCGTAGATCGGAACAAAAATTAATAATTTTTTAATCTGGAGGTAGCCATGGTTAATTATGACATTGGGACGTTATACACCCCCGACTCCCGTGACCATGGGTGCTGTAAATTGCTCGGAACGTCGGAAATATCAAATAAGTTAATATACGCGATAAAATCCGTAAAATTTGTTTTATTTAAATGTGTAGTGTTCGCGTAAATATAAGAAATCATTATACAGCTAAATCACCCTAGAAAACCTTGGTTTTTATTAAATTTAATTTTCACCTAATAATAACATTTGTAAATATCAAACAATCAAGAACGTAATTTGGAAAAAAATAAGGTTTATGATTCATTGATATTTACAAATAATGTTAGATATTATTTAATATTATACAAAAGTAAAAGTAAAGTCAATCTGAAAACGTCTAATTAGTAAGAATAGCAAAACAACTGTTTTCAAAAGGATAAAAACGCCGGCGCTATACGGCGGCGGATTGACAAAAGACTATTTATTAGCGAACTTTTTTATGCATGAACGATTTCGAACTGTTTCAAGCAAAAATAAACCTTATACCATATCACAAGAGCACATGGTACTTCGTAGATATATTCGGCCATATGATAATAATAACACGGCAATTCAACCATTAACCAAGCAAAATTAAACAATAAGACAATTTTGCATTGTTTTATTTTTTAACAGGATACTTGTTTTCCAGAATATTATTTACAACTTGAGTTTGTGAGCGATCGCAATGAGTGCTATTATTTGTTACTTATTAGACTATTTTTCACCAACATGATTTAAAACCCACAAAGTTAAAAGAGTACCGTGTACAAGTTAAAAAAGGTTGTCAACCCCTGAAAATTTAAAATTTTCAAAATATCCAGATACGAAGCTGTAGGCATCAACTACTTGGAAAATAATGGATTTAAAAAAAAGATACGCCTAGCGTGCCACCCGCACTGAACCGGTTAATACCGTCTGATGATTAGAAAAAGAAAATAATTTGGTGCAAAGAATGGTATAAAAATAGAAATAAGTTTAGCCATATCAATTTACTTAAAGAATTAAAAATTGGTAAACCAGGAGACTTGTACAATTACTTGCGCATTGATATAGTCGTTTGAATTTTTATTGCAACTGATAGAACCTCTGCGCCCGCGCAGACAAAATGGCATCGCGCGGACGTTCAACAGGCAAGTCTGCCAGACGGACTGTGACGGTCTTACACTATCAAACTTTGCACAGACCTATAGTAGCGAAGTCCGGCAGGCATGTCTACAGACATACCTGCGGGTATGTCCGTCAAGTAAATTCCCCGCTTAACCTGTTTTTTGCCACCAAGCAACAATGCCTGCTCGTCTAAAGGCTATAAATGTAAGAAACCCGTGTAATTACAGGCTGTAGTTAAAAGCAAAGTTAAGTTGGTAGGAGGTATCCATGGTTTGCAGTAGCCACTTATTATCTGACTGTACGTTTGTCTCGCTTCAAATTTATAAAAAAAAATTACCTGCACCATTTGTCGTGGTATCATTTCTTTTAATTTTTCCGTTAGTCTTCTAGCATTGTATTCTAAGCGTGAGGTGTGAACAATAGTAGACAATTCTTCAACTAAAGTCCCATTGATAAGAATGTCCATCTGTAATTCGTAAAATTAGCAAATGTGATTACAAAATTAATTAAAAAGCCATCAACAGGTAATAAACAGTAAACAGTCTCCTAGTGATTAATATGTATTAGAAATGTTTTAATTGAATAGTTAGTGAATGGAGTTATAATATGCTATAAGATTTTCTTTATTACTAATTTGATTTAAATTGTTGGCGAGACTGTTCATGATCATGTAACTTTTGTACGAGTATGACTTGAGTGATTGAAATCATATTCACACCTTAACTTTGTTTGGTCGAGACGATGGTTTATAGCAATACGATCCGATAGGTGGCGCGGTTGTTGCGGACCAAAATTTACACTACACGTTGGTCTAGTGCAAAGAAAAATCTGGCCTTGAGGGGTCGCACCGTGGTCGAGTTTTTAATAAATTCTATATTTACTTTTACGCTACAAAGAAAACTTATCACACTACCTACAAGTTATTACAACTGGAATGATAGCAATTCCATATAATAAGTATACCTATTACGGAAAATCTTTTCAATAATGAACATATTTTCTTCTGAAAAGGTGTTGTTTTTGTATACCTGTGTAGATTCTGACGTTCATAGGAACATTGAACAAGTATAAATTAAATTTAAAAAAAAAATACGCGGACTATTACGGACCGACTAAAAGGAGCTTATTAAAAAAAAACTTGATTTACTTGTTGATGATTATTTTAGAACTAGCTGTTCCCCGCGACTTCGCCTGCGTGGAGTAATTTTTCGCGGAACCCTAAAATAAAAGCAGCCCAAGTTCTTCTTCTTATAAATTATGGCTTCTCTTGATAAGCCCAAGTTTCTCCTTATAACATCAGCTATCTGCCAGTGTGTATAAATATTGACATTAATATTTATACGATACTAACGTCACTCATTTGTTTTGCCTTCCCGGAACCCCTCCTCTAATACTTAAACTTTATGGTGTGGTATTAAAGTTCAAATTGACTTTAAGGTATTATTACGAATCTTTTGTATGGGAATATAGAAAAGTGTTGTTTTTAGACTTTTTCAGGTATTTTTTTAAATTTTTCTCTCCGTAAGAACCATCTTCGTACTTCAAGGAATATTATAAAAAAAGAATTAGCGAAATCGGTTCAGCTGCTCTCGAGATTTGCGCTTAGCAACACATTCAGCGATTCATTTTTATATTATAGATTACTCACTCGCACTAGAGCACTAGGATGAAAGCCATAATCTTGATAATCAAAACTAGCAAAGCCGGAAGTGATGCTCTTAAGTGTATCATGAAAGTCTATTACAACTTCAGACAGCGGGAGAATAAATTGCATCATTGTCATTTTTTCATCTACTGCACTAGAAGGGAGTGGCGTACCCCGCCTGTCTACACACAGAGTAGTTACTGCTCCAATGAACTCCACAGGAGTTATTATTGTACCTGCAATGGAAAATTAAATACATTTTTATTCATATCATCAGTCTGGTAAATATTGCGTTACATACGTCACGTCACTATTTGGATAATGTATTGGAAATAGATAGAATAAAAAAAGACTACAACATCAATTAATTTCTCCGGAAATGCGTCAGTGTAATACACTATTTACAATACACACTACATTGTAAAGCGACCCTTAGTGCGTTCTTGTGATCCCTGCAAATAAAACTTCGCTATTTCGACCAATTCCTGCATTGACTTCACATCCTTGTCGGCATTTTACTCACTCCCAAGTTATAATACGTATTACAAGTCGGTTCTGTGGCGCAGTGGCTTAGCAATGAGTTGCTGCGCTAAGGTCCGCGGGTTCGAATCCCGCACGGTACAAGCATATGTATGGCCTATAAATAATTGTTCCGGGTCTGGATGTTTGTGCTTGTGCAATTTATGTATGTAAACTGCCTCCACGATACAGGAGAAAAACCTAGTCTGGAGGTAACGTTTTTTTTTAAAAAGGAAAAGAAAAAAAAGTGATAAAACATACCCATTACAAAAGGCTCATAATATTCTTCAATGTGCTTAGAGTCTGGTAACTGTAAAGGATTTGTTATGATGACCTCTTCGCTTTTGTAGTGTTTAATGATTTTTGATCCTTTTAGCCTGAAACATAAATCAATTTCGTTACATAAATCAAGTTCGTTAATAAAGAAGAGATAAACTGATTTCTTAGTGTTTCCGTGTTGTCTATTCATTACATAGATCAAATTAAAGTTACAGTCTATAAATGTCCCACTGCTGGGCACATGCCTCCTCTCATTTCTAGTGTTCTCAAGTTTCAAGTGTTCGCCGCGCTGCCCCAGAGCGTGCTAGCGAACTTAACGTGTCTTCGAAGTATTTTATTTTCTTATTTCTCAGACATGCAGGTTTGCCCACGATGTTTTCCTTCATTGCCGAACACGTGATAAATCAGCACTTAAAATTGCAATTAACAATTTCATTGGTGCCGGCGGCGATCCAACCCGGGTTGCTCGCGAACTGTGAAATTAACAGTGAGAGCTACCACGGCTCTTAGATCAAATTACAGATTAGATACAGATTTACATAAACACTTAAATTAATAATAGTTGTAAGTGCAACATTGTAACGTATTTTGCTGACAGCATATTTTTATATGTCACCGTGTGGGTGATCGCCCATAGTCACGCCGTCGTTCCTACACCTCCTAACTGAAATAACGTGTAATAACTTTTTAGTGTAAGTACAATTGTGAAAGTGAATAGACCTTGTTGTTTGACCAGACTCTAAGTTTCATTCCTCTCCAAATTATTTACCCTCGCCATCAGTGAAACACGCAGTGAACGGTCAGACTGAATTAACAATAGTGAAATAAAACATTAGAAAAAAGTACTAGGAATTTTTTGGTAAATGCTTGTTCAATATAAAAGCTAATGATTTGTTATATTTACGCGAATACTACACATTGAATAAAACTGTATTTACGGATTTTATTGAGTTTAATTTACTTATTTTAATTCCCGACGTTTCGAGTGCTTTAGTCCTTCGTACATTTTTGAAAGCAAGGGTGAACTGCGAAAGCTGGCTACAGGTCCAATACCAGAGCTTAAATCAGAAGTTAAATTACACTTATTTAAAAGCGATTAAAAAACTAACTAGCTTCGGCAGTTATTTATGTAGGTACCTAGGTAATTACGTGTGTATTTAACTAGGTGTATTTCACGATTTTTCAAAAATAATGGACTTCATTCAAAAGTATATTGATATTAGAATGAAATATCTCGTACGTAAAACTGCGATCAAGCAAATAAAACGACAATTATTTAATAAGTTAACCCTTTTTAACGGATAGTAAATTAATTACATTTTTTGTGTTTGACTAATAAATCTGATGGATCTGCAAAAACCCTACCTTATAATTATCCACTTACTAATTATTTACTAAATACTTACCTAATTTAAACTAATAACTTAAGTACAAACGCATAGGCGTCAATCTTGGGACATCACTATTCAACGGTTGATAAGATGAAGATGCAAACTGCTTCATCTTCATCTATCAGTATCTATAGAACACCTGCTGACGCCTGACGCTTGGCATAATGGACAATAAGCGAAACGCGCGCTCTATAGCTTGCTTATTTATACTCTAAGGAAATAATGCTCTCGACACATGCTGTAGATCAAGACTGTTTTGATTTTTAGTAAGAATATTTATTTTATATCAAGCTTTTAAGAAATAATTCTCTCGACACAAGCTGTAGATCTAAACTGCTTGTGATTTGTTATAAGAGTATAAAACTAATAAAACATACATGTAAGTCTCACAAGCTATCCCTCTTAAACATTTCATACTATATTCACACTATAAACATTCATACTATAACATTATAAAATATTGAAGTATCGCAGTATGTAGTATCAATACATAAAATAATCATAAATTTTAATTATTGTAATTTTGGAAATTGCCACTACACCCACATGTTATCACTGGGTTTAAAGAGTAAAGAAATATTATAATAATAAGTACGGAGTGCCAAATGAGCTAACAGTCCACCTGATAGTAACTAATTTTAATAATAAATTTTTTCTTCAAATTTAAATACTACCCTATTATAGAAAGGATAATCTTTAGAAAGAATCATTAAAATCAGTTCACAATTGGCTAAGATATTGTGTAATACACATACAGTCAAATTAAGAAGCACCTTCAAAGTCGTTAATTGTATACTTACTTAATTTTATATGGCACTGATGGAGCTGTAAGAATTGCCTCAGCTTTGTATTCTTGTAAGAGTCTTTGCGTAAAAACATCAAGGTGCAATAGACCCAAGAAGCCCACACGCCATCCCTGGCCTAAAGCTGGACTGAAATTATTATCAATAGAAAAATAATTATAATAAAAAGACAACATAGTTAATAACAAAAGATCAACATAGTTAATAATAATAAACAATTTAAAAGTAAAAACAAGTAATTGTAAATTAATGCTGTAGCTCATAAATCTATTATTCATTAAGAATCAAAATGCAGATAATGAATCTGCATTTTGATTATTGAATCCATGAAGACTTAGGCCTCTGCCTCGAATTTTGCGGGCAGCGGCGGTGGCGGCGACGCGGGAGCGGGGCGGGCAACGCAGACCAGTTCTCGAAACCAGCAGGCAGATCGCGCGACAGCGACACTATAGCGGCGTAGTGATGTGTTCGTGGTTGTGTTGTCGAGTTATTTGTTTTTACTCGCGGACGAAATGTCTGAACAACGGCGACAACATCTTTTTTATTTAAATTTATTCCTAACGCTCGATTTATTGTGGGCAAAAGAAGTGAATGCCTACTATAGAGTAAGGAGAAAAAATGGTGAGTTTTGTCGAAATAGAGCTATTAAATACCAACAGAGCTATTAAATATTCAAGGATCTATAAGCAAAAAAGAATCATTGGATATTTGTAGTACCTATTTTTCCACAGTTGGACAAAATTTAGCACACAAATTCTTATTAAAAGCAATAACACTGAAGAAAGCCTAGTGCGAAATAGTAAAATTAGAAATACAACAAACTCGTTTTTTAAGCAACCTACGGACGCTTACGAAATAGAATACCTAATAACGAATCTCAAAAATGACAAAGCGCCAGGAATTGATGGACTAGGTAATACACTTACAGTAATATGCAACTTGAGTATTTCTACCGGAGTATTTCCAGAAGTTTGGAAGACTGCAATGGTGTATCCTATATATAAAAAGGGCATTAAAAACTCTCCAGATAATTATCGACCCATTTCTCTGCTGAGTGCTTTTTCCAAACTGCTTGAGAAATTGGTTAATAAAAGACTAATGAATTACTTAGAAGCACATAATCTGCTTTTTTGACAGTTTGGATTTAGGAAAAGAAAATGTACCGAGGACGCTGTAACCACCTTAATTTCACATATATCTACTTGCCTTGACAAAAACGTATGCTGTATTGGCGTATTCCTAGACTTAGCCAAGGCCTTCGACACTGTTTCCGTTCCTTTATTATGTAAAAAGCTTGAAAACGTAGGAATCAGAGGATTACCTTTAGATTGGTTCAAAAGCTATTTGCAGGAACGGAAACAGTGCGTGAGAGTGGGCACTTATAATAATGAAATGCAGAATGTTAATTATGGTGTACCTCAGGGAAGTATTCTCGGTCCCACTCTCTTTATCATATACTTGAACGGCATACATCAGTTCAACTCAAAACATTCAGAAATAATATGTTATGCTGATGATACAGTCATTTTATACACTGGAAAAACATGAGATGATGCCATTTCTGTGGCAGAACGCGGTATTTCACAGGTTGCTCATTGGTTAAACTCAAACCTGTTAACTCTCAATGTCGAAAAAACTAATTATATGTGCTTTCATAAGACCCGTTCGTCAGCACCACCTACTGACAAACACATAAAATTGCACCATTGCACAACTAAGAAGAATTTGTGTAGTTGTGAAAAAATTTGGAGAGTGGAATCTATAAAATATCTCGGTATATTCATTGATCACAACTTTAACTTCAAGGCGCATATCTCGGCATTGGCAGGAAGAATTCGTAATATAGTTTATATCATGAGAAAACTGAGAAACTCTGCACCACTGAATACATTAATGACCGTCTATTATGCCTCATGTCAGTCGCTGCTAACATATTGTATTTCTTGCTGGGGAAGCGCTTCCAAAACAGTCATTATGAGGATTGAGAGAGCTCAACGTTCGGTCCTAAAAGTTATGCTTAATAAAAAATACAGGTATACAACAGTTAAATTATATAGAGATAGTAAAGTACTTACAGTTTCGGCAGCTATTTGTCATATGTGTGGCTACCAGTGCTCATAGAACAATATTAAGCTCACATAAATACAATGAGCTAAAAAAACGTGTGTTTCAAATGCCATTACCAAGCGTTCGCACAGCTTTCGCAAAACGATTTAATCCATTCATTGAAACACTAATATTTAACAAAGTTATGACGGCATGCGATATAAGAGATTGCTCAACGAACACAGCTAGAAAGAAAATACGAAATTGATTGTTTAAGCTTAGTTATGAACAAACAGAGAAGCTGCTCCAAACATTGTCATAGTAGTTATATGCCCAATATTGATATTTGATTGATATTGATATTGTTATTATAGTAGTAATTCAAAATACTGTAATATTAACAAATTATATAATATAGTAGTAGTATAATATAGTGTGTGTATATATGTATATATGGATGGATATATGTATATGTGGGTGTATAAGTGTGTATATGTGTTTAAGTATATATTTATGTTTACAGACTATAAATAAAATGAGGAAGACATTTAAAGTAAGGAAAGCTTTGTAAAGTCAGCCGTACACTAATTCTGTTTTTATTAATATGTGTATATGGCTCTCACGATACAGGTCTGCGAGCCTAGTGTGAGAACTACTGTTAAATTATAAGGTGCTAACTGTCAAATAAAGTATTTTTCATTTTCAAATTACGATATCGAAGTACGATGATTAGTTATTTCTACAACCACAGATTTGTTATTATTTGACAGTTTTTTTTTTATTATGAGGTTGATATACCTAGTGCTAAGTATTATAGATTCATTAGAAGGTTACATGCCTTCATTTACACTTAACTCGTTTAGAAGAGCTTGATTAATTTTTTGTCTCACTCTAAGCTTTTGTACTGGCGTGAATTTTTCCATTTGTGGAAGCAAACTCATTAAAAAGTAGTAGTATAAAATAAATTTGCTCTTGCACGTCCGAGGACATTTCGACACGTCACAAAAATAAATTGCACAACACTGCAATGCAGACGCGCGGGCGGTCACCGCTTGACTGGAGTGCACCGCTCATTGCCCGCCCCTGCGCCGCTACCGCGCCGCTGTTTTCGAGGTTCGGTCCATTTGATTATACGCATAAGATCCTGCCGCTCCCGCGCCGCCGCCGCTCCGCTGCCCGCAAGATTCGAGGCAGAGGCCTTAGATTTTTTTAGTGGTAGAGCCACGCGGCATCTTTTGCTGCCGCATGGATGGGCCGGCTCAAAACGGGGTGGTACCACGACCTCACAGAAAACCAGCGTGAAGTAGAGGTTTACCTCTGCGTTTCGCTTGGTGAGTGCAGGTGGCCGGAGGCCCTTTTTACTGGAAATGAGGCATTCCATCTTAGTCCTCACGGGTGACAACGCATCTACATTTTGAGTTGTAATAGAGGATAGATGTAGATGTCTATGGGCCGCAGTAACCACTTACCATCAGGTAGACTGTGTGCTCGTTTGTCACCCTTATCCTATAAAAAAAAAAGATGGAATGCCTCATTACCAGTTTTAAAGAAACAGAAACATTTTTAGTCAATATAGATTATAAATAAAGATAGATTATAAATAATACTTATTGAAAGTTACTCTTTTGTTTAATTACCACTGGTTCGAAAAAAGCCTCTGTCCTGGGAAGAACCAGCTAGAAACCCAGGGGAACTTTTTTTAAATAACAATAATTTTGTTTAATAGTTTTTCAACTTTGAGCAGGTCAAATTTTGTATATTTTCTGGGATTTTGTTGTAAAAGCGTATACATCGCCCCAAGAATGAATTACTGACTCGGTGGGATCAAGTAACTGGCACTACTAGCTTGTGTCTGTTCTTAGTATTTACAGGATGAATATCACTTATTTTTGTATAACTACTTTTATTTTTGTGTACGTACATTACATTTTCATAAATGTATTGAGAGGCCAAAGTTAATATATTAATTTCCTTAAATTTTTGTCAGAGCGTCACTTTAGGTTTTAAATCAAAGATTGCTCTTATGGCAGTCTTCCGTAAAACAAATATAATTCCAGTGTCAGTCGCGTGCCCCCATAGCAAAATACCATACGACATTATGCTATGGAAATAGCTAAAGTAAACAAGTCTAGCTGTTTCCACACTGGTAAGATTTCTAATCTTTTTTACAGCATATGCTGCAGAACTAAGTCTGCTTGCTAATTTCGATTTTTTGAGAGACTAACTATTAATTTGCATTCTGTTACATGCAAAGGAGCTTAAAATACCTTAAAGTTTCCAAATGGAATGCTTGTTTTGCTTTAAATTTCATTAATCACTTGATCCTTAGCTAAAAGTATTGAAGTACCAAGCCATTTTTTGTATAGAATAAGGGTGCGGTTGCTGTGGGCCATAGACATCTACGACGACTCGACCTGGCAACGTACAACGCACACACCCTGAGGACTGACGAGAAGATCCTGGAGCTCGAAGAAGAGATAGACAAGTTACGCTGGCATATTATAGGATTATCCGAAGTCGGAAGAGAGGGGGAGGACACGGTAATCCTCGAATCCGGCAACTTGGTCTATCACCGGGAGGGCGACCATCTGTCCCAAGGAGGTGTCGGATTTATCGTCCACAAGTCTCTCGTTAACAACGTTGTAAAGATCGAGAGTGTGTCGACGAGGGTTGCGTACCTTATACTCAGAATCACCAAACGGTATTCGCAGAAGGTCATACAGGTTTACGCACCAACCTCGGCACACCCCGATGAGGAGGTGGCGGAAATGTATGAGGACATCTCTAGAGCCATGCATTCCTCCAAAACCCAATATACGGTGTTAATAGGAGACTTCAATACAAAACTAGGCACAAGAGAGGTGAGAACGGTGAGCTGAAAGTAGGGAAATTTGGAATAGGGCAACGGAACCCAAGGGGCCAGCAACTGGCCGACTTCATGGAGAAAGAGGGACTCTTTATGATGAACTCTTTCTTCCAGAAGCGGCCCCACAGGAAGTGGACATGGTGGAGCCCCGACGGTTCGACAAAAATGAGATTGAGTTCATTATGACGACCAGACAACTGTTCAGTGATGCCTCCGTGATCGCGAGGGTGAAAACTGGTAGCGATCACCGAATGGTTGGAGGCACACTGAACCTAAACGTTAAGTTGGAGAGGTCTCGTCTAATGAAGTCAACGCTCCGTCCCCCTCGTGCTCTGTTCCAAAGTCCTGAAACCTTTCAGCTCGAGTTACAAAACCGTTTTCAGTGCCTAGAAGACTGCAATGAAGTGGATGATATGAATGACAAGCTCGTGGGAACTGTCCATGCGGTCGGAGCTAAGTTCTGCAAGACCCGCCGCAGAAGAACACAAAAACTCTCCGATCACACTCTTAATCTCGTGGCTGTTAGACGGGATATGAAGCTACATTCTTCAACAGATTTTACAGCATACAGGCAACTGAACAGACAGATCTCCAAATGCATGCGGCGGGACTTACGCAACTTCAATACAGCTTGTATTGAAGAAGCGATCGAGCGGAACCAAGGCTCCAAAATCTTTGCCAGAGATCTGTCTGCCAGAAAGAGCCAACTGTCAAAGCTGAGGACCGAGTGTGGCAGCATCGTTTCCGGGGCACCTGAGATTTTGAGTGAGATTGAGAGGTTCTATGGACAGCTGTACACGTCATCGTTGGAGCCACACGCAAGTGTGAGTAACGATCCAAGAGCGAGTCTTATCCGACACTATTCCGAAGATATCCCGGACGTCAGTCTGAGCGAGATTAGAATGGCTCTCCAGCATCTTAAAAACGGGAAGGCCCCAGGCGAGGATGAAATTACAGCGGAGCTTTTGAAAGCGGGTGGAAAACCGGTATTGAAGTCCTTCAGAGGCTCTTTAATTCCGTCCTCCATGGTGGCATTACACCGGAGGCGTGGAGCGGAAGTGCGGTGGTCTTGTTCTTCAAGAAAGGTGACAACGCTCTCTTGAAGAACTACAGACCGATTTCCCTTCTGAGCCGCGTCTACGTGCTGTTTTCGAGAGTCATTACGAATCGTCTCGCGCGCAGACTTGACGACTTCCAGCCTCCCGAACAAGCCGGTTTCCGAAAGGGCTTTAGCACTATATACCACATACATACCCTTCGGCAAGTTAAGTAAGTCCGAGGAGTACAATTTGCCACTATGCGTGGCGTATGTGGTCGAAATTTGGGCGGTGCTGCAGTCCCTTCAGCGGTGCCAAGTTGACTGTCGGTATATCGAAGTGCTGAAGTGCTTGTACAGTAGGGTAGCCCTACGGCTATCCGAGTACAGAACCAGAGTACGAAACCAATCCAATTGCAGAGAGGTGTAAGACAGGGTGACGTTATATCCTCGAAACTCTTCACCGCTGCATTGGAAGACGTTTTCAAGCTTCTGGACTGGAAAGGATACGGTATTAACATCAATGGCGAGTACATCACTCACCTTCGATTTGCCGACGATATAGTCCTTATGGCAGAATCGCTGGAGGACCTAAGCACTATGCTCAATGACCTCAATATTGTTTCCCAACGGATAGGTCTTAAGATGAACATGGACAAAACAAAGATTATGTTTAATGTCCATGTCACACCTATGCCGGTAGTTGTTGGGAGCACTAAGCTCGAATTTGATGACGAGTATGTTTACCTGGGACAAATAGTCCGACTAGGTAAGTTCAACTTCGACCGAGAGGTCAATCGACGGATTCAACTCGGCTGGGCAGCGTTCGGGAAACTACGACACATCTTCTCGTCAGACATACCTCAAAACCTTAAAACGAAATTGTACAACCAGTGCGTGTTGCCAGTGATGACGTGGTCCTTCACTGCTGGCCGTATGAGGAAGCTCAAGGTTGCTCAGCGGGCTATGGAGAGGGCTGTGCTCGGAGTTTCTCTGCGTGATAAACTTAGAAATGAGGATATCCACAGTAGAACCAGAGTAACCGACATAGCCCAACGGATTAGTAAGCTGAAGTGGCAGTGGGCCGGCCATATAGCTCGAAGAATCGACAACCGAAGGGGATGAAAGGTTCTTGAGTGGCAGCCTCGGACCGGTAGGCGAAGTGTAGGGTGAACCCCATGAGATGGAGTGACGACCTGGTAAGACATGCAGGAAATCGATGGATGCAGGTGGCTCAGGACCGTGCTTTCTGGCATTCCTTGGTGGAGGCCTATGTTCAGCAGTGGACTTATGAAAGGCTGTAATGATGATGATGATGATGATGACTAAGTACATAATCGTTGGCACTCCAAAAAGAGTGTAGCACTGAAGTTAGATAATTATGGTTCATTCGTCAAGGCTTATTACACTGCCATCTCGAATTTAATACGTAAAGTAGTTTGTCAGCTATTGAGTCCATAAACAAAACTCACAAAAAGAACCGCAGATGTCTCCTAGATGTCAGCTTTATAAAACTTGACACTATGGATACTATAGTATCCAGGATGTACAACGCTACTTTTATTTTGGATAGTGTCGTATCCATGGACGTTTCAGTGGATATGGAAATGTCTTTTAATATTATTAGTCTCATGAACCTTTCTTAGTAGGAGAAAGATATTGTTTTACGAGAATTTGTGGTATGATATGGGTTTTTTAATGGGGTGAAGCCTGAATACATTCCTAGACCGCAAACTTCTTGGAATGTCAATGGGCACTTTTTCATAGATTAGACTACGAATTAATCATTAAAAGCTGAAGGTAGCCCGAAACTACCTAAGATGGAATGCCTCTTTTCCAGTAAAAAAGGTCTCCGGTTCTCTACACTCACCATACAAAACACAGCAGTTTTAAACTGCTATTTGACGCTGGTATTCTGTGAGCTTCCTTCCCCGGTCGAGCCGACCCATTCGTACTACAACTATACTACTAATATAGCTGCAGCGTGGCTCTAAAGCCAAAAAAGCCAAAAAAAATTTTATGGCTTTTTTAGAAATGTACCATTGTGGATGTGTAACTTGCTCATAAACATAAAATTTAACCATATTCACCAAATGATCCACTAGTAATGACACTAATGATGGGTCAGTAAAATTTTAAGAACAAGGCAATAATATGGATTTTGAAAATAATAAAAGAGGCACTTAATGTGAAAATTTGTATAAAAACTGCAAGTTTTACCTTGAATCAACATTTACACTAACAGCAGAATCATTTAAAGCTAATTTTTTAATGGCATCACTGAGAAAAATATGCTGAGATTGGTCAGCAGGAAATATCCCAGCATACACCATATGTTTGATTGGTTGTGCATTATTAGTTTGATCAATATCAGTTGCTTCAATAGATAATAAATGGTCACCTACACTTCCACCACCTTTAGGACCAAGACCTGAAAGTTATTTATAAAATATAATAAACTATAAATTATATTATTTTTAACATGCTTTTATTATCTGTGTAATGGAATTTTTGAATGTGATTTTCATCTCCTTCAAAACGTCGGATTGATTTGAAACTTCACACACTTATCAAGGGCCGATGACAATGCAATAATTTTAATAGTTTGTCCCAGTATCCTTGCCAGGATCCTCAGGATTTACGAATATTTCATAAAACACATACAATCACTGCCAGTTCAATCTACTGTAAGCCGCATAAAAGAACTTCGTTCCAAAAAAAAGACATGCTTTTATAGTTAACCGCAATAAAAAATAGAAAATAAATAATAGTTTAAAAAACACGCTTTTGTAGATAACCAAACTAAAAAGCATTACATAATATACAATATTAAGAACTATAATAATAATAATAAAAAAAACTAAAACTAGAAACTTAAAAACTAATTATATTATATTAGTAACAAAAAAGTAGAAAATAATTTTAAAATAAGCAAATAGTGATTAACATAAGAAATGTTGGGTGCTTGATGTCATTTGTTGTAAATATATTTGTGGATATTTGTAAAATTAGCGTCATTGTAAAAATATCTAAAAAAAGCATGCCACACTTTTTTACAATAAAATTATTTGTTTATGTTCATTACTTACCTACCATTACAACTTGACCTGCCGTTGCCTTATTAATGGGTTCTTCTCCTGGTCTTAATAATGCTAGATATTTTACAGTATGCTGTTTAGGATTTGATTGCCATTTGACTTCTTGTCCAATTTCCACTGTTCCAGAGTGAATGTATGCTAAGCAAAGCACTCCTCTATACTTGTCATGCCAAGTGTCAATTATATGTGCTTTGAAATAACCAGTGGGATTTACATCTGGTGGTGGTATTCTAGTTATTACAGCTTCTAATAATTCTTTAACTCCCCATCCTTTTTTTGCCGATATGCTCAATACTGTATCAGGGTCAATATTAAAAAGAGAATTAAGCTGAGACTTGACATTATCAGGATCAGCTCTAGGTAAGTCAACTTTATTTAGAGTAGGGATTATAATTAAGTTATTTCTTTTGGCCAGTGAATGAACAGCTACAGTTTGCGCCTGAATACCTTCATTTGCATCCACTAAGAGAATTACTCCTTGACATGCTGTTACACTCCTAACAACCTTAAAACATTTAACTGTAGTGCAATATTCGTATACATTTGATTTTTAATTCCAAACTAGGAATTAAAAATCAATAAATTTATTTTGGAAGAAAATAAAAATTCATTATACCTCATTTGAAAAGTCTACATGACCTGGAGTATCTATAAGATTTAAGAGATATAATTCATTCTTAAATGTATAATTTAGTGACGCTGTAACAGCTTTAACTGTTATACCTCTTTCCTTTTCAACCTGTAATTAAAATTAACTAAAGTAAAATGTGCATTGGGTGGTAAACATAAAGAAGTACTGATTGCAGACAAACATACTTGTAACTGATCTAGTACTTGTGCATTTTCTGTGCTAGCTTTTATTACACCAGTTAGTTCCAGTAACCTGTCAGCTAAAGTACTTTTTCCATGATCAACATGAGCTACTATACTAAAGTTTCTAATTTTTCGCCTATCGAAAATTTTAGAGTTGCATTCAGTACTATTCATACGGTTCGATAATCTGAAATAGAGAAGTGCAAACTCATATTACACACTATTATATTATTTAGTCAAAATAGTTATTATTTAACCTTCTAACAAACCTTGTAAGTTTACTGAGACATATTAAGTTAAAACGGTGTGTACTTTTAAAAATATTAACCATTATTTGTCATAAATTATTGCTAAAATAATAATAGTAAGACAGTAATTAGAAAAAGGACGAAGTTTATAAATCAATAAATATTCAAAACAATAAACTTAACAATAATCTAGCACAGACTAGTTAGAGAAACTAACGTAATCTAGGAAAGATATATAGAAAAGTAATATTATTTTAGTAGATAGGTGACTAGGTAGCACCTTTGAGCATAGAAAATAGAGGAGATGGCAAGCCTACAAAAAAATCGTGTCAAATTGAAACAATAAATGGCGGACGCTGTAAGCTCCGCCCATTTTTTAGTGATGTGAAGTCAATCAACATTTAAAACTTAGTATCACCTATATGTATATTTATTTATTTTTAAATATGCAAAATTATATTTTCTCTAACGATTAGGGAGGCTAGGGGAATTTCGCGTGAATTTAACCGCCAGATGATTGCTGCTCCAGTTTTATCGTTTAAATAATAGTTTGAAGACGATTTTGATACTTAATGCACGGATAGCAACTCGTGCTTGTAAGTTGTAAGTTAGCAAGCTAGTTGCTCTGACTTCATATTATACAGAATAAGCTTTACTTCTGGGCTAATAAGTTACTATCTAAAGCCAGGATGGTTTAACAGGATGGAGTTCTCTTTTTGAGCTAGTAGCACCCCCCACCATTTTTTTTTACTAGTCTGGCTTGGGCACCAGTTTCGTGTGGCCGGTTAAGCTAATATCTTTTGAAGTAAAAACTACTTTAGAATCGCTGTGATTTGAATATTTAATTATCATATAAAATAAATTATTTGCCGTGAAATATTTTTTATTTTACATCCACCCCGGCTTAGCATGGGTGATTTCTGGATTTATTCTTCTGGATTAAACAATATAACATATAATAAAGTCAAGTAATAATGTCCATAGTCTCTGAGGTATTTGCATGTTTGCCTACACAGAGAGATTACTTACAGGCGCTAGATTGTACTTTATTTAATCTAAAATCTAAATCTAAAATAAAATAAAAAAGATTGTACTTTATGTAATCTTTGTTACTTTGCTTCACTTTTATTATGTGTGTACCGTAGGTCCTACCTCCCATGAATGTTACTCGGTTTCCGTATAATTTAGTTAATCATTTATGCTCACCGCTCAGACCCATGACACCGAAATAATGCAATGCATAACGCAAAACTTTTTCACATAATACGACAGAATAAATCAAGAAAAACCTTAATAAAATATATCCTTGAAAGAATTTATTATTAGCAATGTAACATCACTATTTACGAACAACAAAATTTTATAGATACGCAAAGAATGATAAGAAGTAATTAAATAATATGAATTAAAGGTTTAGGGTAAATAATTACATCCATCTACTTATTGTCGCAAAAGATATAAACGTTTTTATATTATATTTACAGCAAAAACTAAATCACTCACATATGCAATGATAGCTCGCGTGATTTTGGACTATATTTTGAAGCACAGCCTCTTACACAACACTTCTTCATCTTCGTACTTTATAATGAATTGGAAAATTCACTATAAACTGTTTAAAAATTCGCAAAATTTTCAAATTAAGAAATATCAAACGGCTTTTTATAACAGCAAATCCGAAAGAATAAATGGCGGAATCGGCCGCAAGGCGGGGTTAAATGACGTCATCTTATAAATGTTTACCAGAATACGAAACAATTTCTATTATCTGTTTCATTTATGAATAACATTTAGACTTACACTTCGCTTAGTGACAAAGAGATAGGCAGCATATTTACAGAAAACATATAAACGCTCTGGGCAGCTCCTCTATATTCTATGCTCAAAGGGTGGCACACACAGAATATGTCATTGTCAGAATCATAGACATAAACTAAAGCCCGCTATTCACTATGGGATATATGTAATATTATATATCTCGAGATATAAATATTAATCGGTATAGTACGGTGAGTGATATCAATCACTCACCGTACTTTTTAATGGAACCGTTTACACTGACGTAATATACCTATATTACATCTTATACTTATACTACAAATATTTTTTTAATCGACCGAGCAATATTTTCATATTATATTTCGCAGCCTGTACTCCACACACCGTTCCGCGCCGCCGCAGAACCGTGTGCGCAGTACAGGGGTAATCCAATGACGAACGTACACTGGTTAAAGGATATATCTCACAGTGTGAAAGCCAATCGCGGGATATAATATATATTATATCCCATAGTGAAAAGCGACCTTAATAAGAAGTGCTAGCGCAGTCACAGAGTACTTCTTTTTATCACTTTTTATATACTGATTTTTTTAAACAGGCTTTACGGCTCTGGGTTCTAGCCCTTCTAAGCCTGAAATTATCTACAAGTTAGCTACAGGGAACCCTGTAGGGTTTTGTTGAAAAGTATGCTTCCAACTTATACTGTAAGATTAAGCCATATGAAGAGGTTAGGTATTAAAGATGTTACTACTTTATATAAAAGATCTTCTCACATAAAAACATTGATATGAGTTAAAATGCTCTTTAGGAATCTTCGGGCTAATTGTAACCACATTTTTAGCCTTTCGGATTCGTTGGAACAGAAACAAACAGTTTCTGTGGACCACTTATAGTCGTATTAGTACATTGTGAAACTACACCATTTATACACCATTTTATCGAATATTTTAAAAATAAAAGCTGAAATTCGCTTCAGCGGCATTATTTTATTACGGTTATTGACTTGTTTACATGTGTCTGACGTCACACATGTCATATGACCAGTGCCATTACAAAATCAGCGTTTCTGCTGCAGTTTTGGCTTTTTAATAACATGTTAATAATTTTTAATAGTATAAGTAGTCGAAAATACAACTTTCTGATCTATTTCTTAGGGGAAATTGATTAATTTTGTGGGTAGACTGACCTCTCCAGAGATTGCTGGCAAGTTGTACAAAAGTCCGAGGAGTACAATTTTCCACTATGCCTGGCGTATGTGGACTATGAGAAAGCCTTTGATTCTGTCAAAATTTGGGCGGTGCTGCAGTCCCTTCAGCGGTGCCAAGTTGACTGTCGGTATATCGAAGTGCTGAAGTGCTTGTACAGTAGCGCTACAATGGCTATCCGAGTACAGAACCAGAGTATAAAACCTATCCAATTGCAGAGAGGTGTAAGACAGGGGGGTGACGTTATATCCCCGAAACTCTTCATCGCTGCATTGGAGGACGTTTTCAAGCTTCTGGACTGGAAAGAATACGGTATTAACATCAATGGCGAGTACATCACTCACCTTCGATTTGCCGACGATATAGTCCTTATGGCAGAATCACTGGAGGATCTAAGCACCATGCTCAATGACCTCAATAGTGTCTCATAACGGAAAGGTCTTAAGATGAACATGGACAAAACAAAGATCATGTTCAATGTCCATGTCACACCTATACCGCTAGTTGTTGGGAGCACTAAGCTCGAAGTTGTTGACGAGTATGTTTAACTGGGACAAATAGTCCGACTAGGTAAGTCCAACTTCGACCGAGAGGTCAATCGACGGATTCAACTCGGCTGGGCAGCGTTCGGGAAACTACGACACATCTTCTCGTCAGACATTACTCAAAACCTTAAAACGAAATTATACAACCAGTGCGTGTTGCGAGTGATGACTTACGGATCTGAGACGTGGTCCTTCACTGCTGGCCGTATGAGGAAACTCAAGGTCGCTCAGCGAGCTATGGACAGGGCTATACTCGGGGTTTCTCTGCGTGATAAATTTAGAAATGAGGATATCCGCAGTAGAACCAGAGTGACCGACATAGCCCAACGGATTAGTACGTTGAAGTGGCAGTGGGCCGGCCATATAGCTCGAAGAACCGAGAACCGATGGGGAAGAAAGGTTCTTGAGTGGCACCCTCGTACCGGTAGGCGAAGTGTAGGGCAACCCCCCACGAGATGGAGTGACGACCTGGTAAGACATGCAGAAAGTCGATGGATGCAGGTGGCTCAGGACCGTGCTTTGTGGCATTCCTTGGGTGAGGCCTATATTCAGCAGTGGACTTATGAAAGGCTGTAATTATGATGATGATGAATAATGAGGGTATGCGTAATATGTAAAATTCGTTACGAAAAGGAACGTGGGATAACATTCCGGAAGTAAGTGAATTTGCAGCTAATATTAAGCAAATTAAAACTATTTGGTAATATAGGTACCTAAAAATTTGTTACTAATATTAAAATTTGTTACGTGGTAGAGCCATGCTGCAGCTATATTATGGTTGTAGCACGAATGGGTCGGCTCGACCGGGGAAGGACCACGCTCTCACAGAAAACCAGCGTAAAATAGCAGCTTAACGCTGCTGTGTTTCGTATGGTGAGTGTAGAGAACCGGAGACCCTTTTTACTGGCAAAGAGGCATTCCATCTTAGTCCTCACGGGTAACAACGCATCTGCATCTTGAGTCCTTATTGGGGATAGATGTAGATGTCTATGGGTCACAGTAACCACTTACCATCAGGTGGACTTTGTGCTCGTTTGTCACCCGATCCTATAAAAAAAAAAATTACTATCGTAATTACCTACAGGTTTGGCTTTATACGAGTATTACTGAGTTTTGATAAACAATAAAATTCAATAGGGTTGTCGAGTTCCTTGTCTATAACACTTATCGATGTTCTTTTCTACCCATATCTGTTCACAATCAAAGTCGCTAAAAACAGATATATATAATATACAATAGACTAAAATTATGGCTAAAAAGCACAAAATTGTGAATTGGCGTCCGTAGCGCGCTAGTAGCTGTAGCTCGATAACCCATGGTAAACGACGGGCGACTCACATGGCTGGCTCGAAGTGAAGGGCTGGCCCAAGGTGGCCACTCTGAGTGGGCTTGTCGAGCCCTTGGACGTGACTTTGATTTTGACTTTGTCAGGACTATACCACTTGGTGCTTCCGAGTGCTCGTTTTTTCTTGGCTCCATGACCTCCATATATCGGGCTTAGGAAGTCGAGATGGGAAGTCCTCAACTAAGGGGGCCGCGGATGTGCTTGAAAGTGTTTCCGTGGTCCCGTCAATAAGTGGTGAAGGTACATAATCCGTTCTTGCCTCCGCAATGCAGGTATACGTAGGCATTTTCTCATTTGAAACCCAGAACAAAATCCGATCTGGGGTAAGGTTTAGAATCAAGTCGCCTGAATTTGGGGATGGTGGGTAGTGGAGAGTGGGGGAGGGGAGTTGTAGAGTCACCCCCCACTTCTATTTCCTGCCGGACGTGCTTAGTTTTTTTTTAATTTTTATAAAAATCTCATTTTGAAGTTATGTTTTCGTAATGTTTTTGACAATATAAACCTGATTTGTGGGGTAAAGAGTTGGGGGAGGGTAGCCTAATGCCACTCGACGTGGCGCAGTCGAGGGAAGCTCGGTCGACGGAGCCGTGCTGTGTGGGGCTCCTATTTCTGGTTGGTTTATAAAAAAATAACCAAGAAGTGGATGGAGGGGTCTGTTCGCTCGTTTTGCTCGCTCACTCGACCGTGCTATCCCCTTCTAACCTGACCTGTCCGAGACGGGGTGCCCCCAGTACCGAGCTCGCTTCGCTCGCTCTTGCACTAAATAAAACACCACAATGTTAATTTCCACTATTTCCAAAAACGTCGTAAAATAGCAAGCAATCGGTCTTCAGATGGGTAGCGAAGTCGTTCAAAAACAGGAAGCAGATAATAACAATAAGGAGCACATTCACGTAAACTCGGAAGCAACGGAATGACGCTTATGACGCGAGTCGCGAAGTCGAGTATAAACCTAGTGATTATATCTTCTTTGGTTAAGTATATATGTTACTGATTACTGTCAATGTAAAAAGTTCCGTTTCAGGTTTTAATTAGTGATTTATGAATATTTTTAGAAAATTATATTAAATATTTCGACGCAGCTCCGGTAGCTAAAATTGCACGGGGGAGCTTTTTTTTATTTGGATAAGGGTAACAAACGAGCACATAGTCCACCTGATGGTAAGTGGTTGCTGCGGCCCATAGACATCTACATCTATCCTCTATTACAAATCAAAATGTAGATGCGTTGTCACCCGTGAGGACTAAGATGGAATGCCTCATTTCCAGTAAAAAGGGCCTTCGGCCACCTGCACTACCAAGCGAAACGCAGAGGTAAACCTCTACTTCATGCTGGTTTTCTGTGAGGTCGTGGTACCACCCCGGTTCGAGCCGGCACATCCCTGAAATTGATACAATTTCATCGAGGTCAACACAGTCACTAATTTACGTCATTTCGAAGATTATTCAGCAAAACTCTTGGTGTGCGTGACTTCTGGTAACGCGGTCAAGGTGTCATTGCGTTGCATGCTGTGATGTTGAGAGCTGAACAGAACCTAAGAATTTTTTCGACTGATCAACGGGATTCCTTTTTTTAATGAAAACAAAGTTTTATTTCCTAAGGAGACCAATTCAAGCTGACAGAGCTGTCAATACATTTAAGTGTTCCACCAAGTATGGCAGAAGCAATTCCACGAACGATGATGTCTGTAGAAGGTGTCTGATTAGTAAAGTCCACCCTACCTTTTTCTTGTTTAAAATGTTAACAATAACAATGCTGCTAATAATAAACCGAATACCCAAAATTCGGTATTATATCCATTTAAAGTCAATTTATCGAACAAATTATGTGTACGTTAAAACAAGGCTAATTTACTACCAATATAATTATTTTATGTATATAGATATATAAATTAAAATTGCAATTTTCGATTTTGAGACAGGTAACATTTTTATTGTGTCATTCAGCCACGTCATTTTTGGTTGACTGAAAAGGTTGTTAGGTGTTAGTATACGCGGCATTTATTATAAGTTTCTTGATAAATAGTTAATCATGAATATATTCCGCTTGCTCGCCGATTTATCCCATCTATTAGCTATTATAATATTATTAATTAAAATATGGAAAACTAGATCATGTGCAGGTGATTTTTCTTATAACCGGCATGCATCTTCATTATTTTACGGCTGGGCACATAATTGTAAATATCTTCATTTGTTTATCTTTCAGGAATATCGGGAAAGTCGCAAATACTTTTTGCTATAGTGTATACGACGCGATATTTAGATTTATTGACAACGTACGTGTCTGCCTATAACTCTGTTATGAAAATTGTTTTCATCGTGGCCTCTTACGCTACAGTATACTTGATGTATGTGAAATTTAAAGCTACCTACGATCATAACCACGACACATTCCGCATTGAATTTTTACTGATTCCATCTGCTATACTTGCATTGTTGATTAATCGCGAGTTTACAGTTCTTGAGGTTGGTATCTTACTTTGATTATTGTATTGTATATAAAATATAACTGAGTTAATCTTTTTTGTTATTTCCTCAGCTAATGTGGATTATTGTCGTTGAATTGCTGTTATGATAATTTACAGGTTTTATGGACTTTTTCAATTTACCTGGAATCGGTTGCAATCCTACCACAACTATTTTTGGTTTCCAAGACTGGTGAAGCTGAAAGTATCACCTCCCATTACCTGTTTGCTCTTGGATCATACAGAGGTCTTTACCTTCTTAATTGGGTGAGTTACTTTTAGATCTTTTTTTATTACTCTTTTTGTTTTAAATGATGCTTATGAATGACAATACATAGTAAAGTATCATCATTCATATGCATTATTGTACAATTTGTGTTAACTTCTGAACTTAGAAGTATAAAATTCAAAATAGTTTCAGACCTTTTATTGCGGTTAATTTTATCTTTGGTACGACTTTCCATTGACGTCAGTGGAGTTTGGTGTTGATACGTATTTTTACAGAAAGATTACACTATTATAAGCACACACACAAAGTCTCAATATACGGAAACGCGTAATTTTTGAGAAAAGAATAATTGAAAATCAATTATTCTTGCAATGTTTATGTCTAATCTGCTAATAAACTGGCGCCATTTTGTAATGTCATTGTCGACGTCAATAGGGATGTAGATTCTTTCCGAAAAAGATCGATATTTTAAATAGATTCGAATTGTAAGCTGATGTATCGATTCCCAAAAACTCGATTTCTAAAATATCGATATTTTTTTCATGTTTGCATTTATAATGTAAATATAAATCCATTTTATGAGAAAAAAATCCCCTTCATCATAAAAAAAAATAAGGCGACTGATTCATAAGGATTTCTGTATCTATTTTGAGACTGCTACGTCTCCGGCGCTGCGGGAAGAGCAACCTCTACGCCTTAGCGTAACAAATCGCAGGCATCCCTCCTCGCCTCCGCAGCTTCGGCTTGTTGGTCGCCTTCGGCGACCAGCCTCAGCCGCTCCGGCTCGTCCGATGCCTACGATTAGTTACAGCAGGCGGAGGCTGCCTCCCCCTACGCGCCTCCGGCTCTATAAAACCACTCTAGGGGTAGGACAGACTCGTACCAGGTGGAGTCGGGGTCAATCAATTCGGTTCTTTGACATAAGTTGAACCTAACCTATTTTATTTGTTATCTGCCCCAATAGGTACTGTTAAATAAAACAAATTTCAATAAGAGATCATTTATCATGGTATCTTTCTTGTTTTTCATAAAATGGGTTTATATTTACATTATAAATAGAAACATTAAAAAAATATAGATATTTTAGAAATCGATTTTTTGTGAACCGATACATCAGCTTGCGATTTGAATCGATTTAAAAATCGACCTTTTCCGGAAAGAATCGACATCCCTATTGACGTCGACAATGACATTACAAAATGGCGCCAGTTTATTAGCAGATTAGACATAAACATTGCAAGAATAATTGATTTTCAATTATTCTTTTCTCAAAAATTGCGCGTTTCCGTATATTGAGACTTTGTGTGTGTGCTTATAATAGTGTAATCTTTCTGTAAAAATACGTATCAACACCAAACTCCACTGACGTCAATGGAAAGCTAAGCCTTATCTTTTTTTTTATTCCTGTTGCTATAAAGAAACAGTAAGCATAAATTATTGGTCTTTAGGTTTGACTGTGTTATGCTTGCCCCCTTGTTTGACAATGCATCTTTATCCACTTTGATTCTGGATTTGCACCTACACAAAGCCATATAGTGCTTTATATTCATTTTAAAGTAAAAATAAATAATAAACATACCTACTTTTCTGTCTTAACTTTTTGCTTTAACTGTCATGTAGGTATATAATTGGTCCATTTTTCACTGTTGGGTAGAATTTTAACATCTCCCGGGGCTTGCAGTGACATTGACATAGAGTTGCTTACGTTTCATTATCAATATTTCAGCACTTTACAAGTGCTTTGCGGAACATTATCCCTATTATGGTCCTGAGCGACCTACACCTTGCTTGTCTTACCAGTAGTCATTCCTTCTAGTGGGGGAGCTGCCCTTAAAATTTTCAATAAACTGCCACCCAAAAACCTTTAGTTCCCATTGTTTGTTCCTTGAGCTATATGACTGATCCATAATGATATTTGCAGTATGAATTCTACCACACAGAAATTTTGAGTGTAGCCTACTCCATAGCTCGCTGAGTGCTCTCAAGCCTCCTCATATAGCCAGCAGTGAAGGACACTGTCTCAGATACATATGTCATTAATAAAACAGACAAAATTGGCCAAGTGCAAGTCGGGCCTTGTTTATTGAAAAGAGAAAAAACATAATAATAAAAAATGCTTTTTTAGCTCACAGCTTACAAACTACATTATAAATAGATGTTTTCAGTACTTGTTGTTTAAATAGTGTATGTGAAGTAGTACACTCTAATCAAATTTCTAACTACGTCAGTTTTTCAGATAGACCTCATAACAATGTATAAAACTGACGCCTTTGACAGCCCCATTTCTTTGTTTTTGAAGATAAAAAGAACAAAAATATATGTGTGCTCTATTCAATGAGCTCTAGATAATGTCACTCCACCAGCTAGGATAAAAAATATTTTTTATTTTGGATCCTTATTCATGTGCCCTGAAAATAATTTTATTCAACATTCTATGCCAAATTTCCAAATTGCAGGTCCCAGGACACAGAAATACACTGACTGACAGATAGACAGAGAGCTTACTTTACAAAAGCAGAAATATCCAATTTGTATTGATAATGATTTTTATATGTGGTTGAGCCACGCTGCAGCTTTATGGTTGTAGCACAAATGGGTTCAACTCGACTGGGGTAGGTCCATGATCTCACAGAATACCAGCATAAAATAGCAGCTTAATTCTGCTGTGTTTCGTATGGTGAGAGTAAAGAACTGGAGACCATTTTTACTGGAAACAAGCTATTCAATCTCAGTCCTCAGGGGTGACAATGTGTCTGCATTTTGATTCTAATTTAATAACTGTAGATATTTATGGGCCACAGCATCCACTTACCATAAGGTGGACTGTGTGATCGTTTATCACCTTTATTCTATAAAAGTCACACAGATGGCCGAACTTTGGGATTAGCTCACTTAGATAGTCTCTTAAAAGCCAGCCACCTATGCCGACTTAAAATAATTTATAAAATGGAGGTGGGCTGGAATTAGGGTATAAAATTCTTAGTTAAATGGGTTAAATACGAAATAATCACTAATTCCAGTTCTTTATTCTATGTATTAACCACAACAAACATTAAAAACCCAGAGAATACGCTAAAACACTATGTGGCTTAGTATATATTATACACCTAATATTTAATCTATGTGATTTTATTATGATATTTCCGCACCTGTGGTCTTTTTGGCTGCGATGTATTGACCTATCACTATTGATATAAAGGATAATTTGTCTCTAGTTCTGTAACATATAGAATGAAAACTAATTTATGGTAGATTAAGACGGATTATTTTAGGTATAAGCCGATTTTATTGCATTCTACCCTACATTAATAAATAATTTGAGGATATATTTTTAAGTGTTTTATAGCTCTATTTTTAATTGATATTTTCAGATTTATCGTTACATTGTTGAGGACCATTACGAACTGATTGCTATAGTAGCAGGTGTCATACAGACAGTTTTGTATTGTGATTTCTTCTATCTATATATAACAAAAGGTAATTTTTAAATTTTGTAAATATTATTTATAACCTAACAGTTTTAAATGGTAAAAATCCTTAATTATGTTTGTAATGCTTAATTTTTAATGAAAAGTCTCACATGAGAGATGAGAGATGAGAGACAGTTTTTGGTTAATTCTAAATTTTAGTTCAAATTCCATAGAACCTTTAAGTTGTCAACTCTAAATTGTACCATAAAAAATATATTAAATTGTAATTGTAAATTTTAACTTAAGTACTTAAGGTACCTGAGCACAAAAATTAAAACCACTTATTTAAGTGACAATTTTGCTAATGTCAATATGATATTTATCAACAGAATGAAATGAAATGGTTCTTAAGTAGGATTTTGCGAGGACTGGTTTTGTAATGGGAAATTACAATTGCTATTGTGGGACTATTTGTGAGAGTCTAAGATGGTAGTAGCAGGGTAAGAATATCCACTACCCCATATGAACCATTGGACGTCGTAAGAGGTGACATAGGGAAATCAACCAGGATATGGGTAGCACCATCTTCTTAATAACAAAAAATAAAAATCTCTGATTACCTACCTACCTGCTAAGCGTGGAAACTAATGGCAAATAACCCCCTATGAGGCAATCTATGGGGGAGGCCTATGTTCAGCAGTAGACTTTTGATAGGCTGCAATGATGATGGTAACAGATGCTTTAAAATTATGAAGTATGTTAACAATTGTTTAAACATTTTATAATTCTTTCAAACCTCATTTTGTAGTAATTCTTCTAATTTAACCTTTACAGGTTAAACAAAAATGTTCTCTAAATATCATTTCTGTTTTAATTTAAAAAAAATATTTTAATTATTAAACTATATTTTTTTATTTCAGTGTTAAAAGGAAAGAAGCTCCAACTTCCAGCCTAAACACAAGCCTACCGATGCAATAAAACAATTTGACATAAATTTATGTCTTCTGTTAATATAAGTCAATAATATTACCTAAGATCTAGCTGTACAATTATTGTGTGGGTTATTGTGAAAGCATTATTAAAAACGGTTATTTGTGATGAAAATGGATAATTCATTATAATACCCATTAATTTTATTATTACTTTAATGGTGTCTTACATATTATGTCAATTTTAAATAAAATGTTAGTGTGAGTCAGTGTAAACCTTGGAGTAATAACATACATACTTTACGCATAGAGGGAATCTACCATTCTACTTATAGGGGATCAATATACTTATTTCGATTAATTTAACTATCAAATGAGACAAAAAGCTATAAACCTATTTAAAGAACTAAAAAATAAAAATCTACGAATCCGTCTGCCAAGCGTGGGACCTAATGGCAAATAAAAGTAATTTTAAAAATATTTTTTTTTTAAAATAAAACACATCGTTCATCAATCTCTCATACAAAGGTTTAAATAGCAAACAAGTTGGGTCCCATTTGTTATCTTAATTTTATATGCTGATTTACCACTTGCTAAGCTACCATCGATAAAGCTATAACTGCGTGGATGTAAATATTTCAAAATCATGATGTGAAGGTGAAATTTTCCACTGCGCACTTGAGCATGATTTTCGTAATGCCGTGTAGCGGCGGCGTAAAAGAATCCCCTACCCATACTTGATGCTCTAAGAACTCGTACCAACCCTCGTGTACGGTAAGAGGCGACTGAGGGAAGTAAAGCAAGAGATCGGTAGTAAAATAATAAAAAATTGCGGTTACCAACCTGCCTGCGATATACCTTTTAAGGGAGAGGCCTATTTTCAGCTGTAACATTTTGATAGGCTGTAATTAATTAATGAATGATGGCTAATATCTTGAGGGAACAGAGAGGAAAACGGGTGATACATTTGTAATCGATCTATTGGTACTTTTGGAGCATGAAAGAAGGCAATTAAACAAACTTATAAATAAAATATTTCGAATAAGTACTTGCTTTCATGTTTACTGCTTATTTTTTTTTTGCTGTGAAACCCACAATAAGGCTAGGGACAATTTAGCAGAAACATATTGACTTAATTCTAGTAGATATTTTAATAACTTTTTAACAGTATATTTTAATTTAGCCCGAAAATGCGAAGTTCCGCATTATTCGATTACGTTATTGTTGTAAATGTCCCTACGTTTAAGTTATATTAATTGATATTAATAAGTATTTTATACAAACCGAATTATTCTAAATCCTTAATTTTACTAAGTCATAGACAAAATTACTTTATCAACATTTTTGTATCACTAATGGCACATCGATTGCAATGTCTATGAAACTGAAAAAAGGCAACAACCTTGTGAAAGGCGACAATAATACAGCTATCATAAAATCTCATATGCAAAAAAGTTTAATTGCAAGAATTTTTTCCTTATTTTAGGATTTCCTCTATGCCTGTACTTACTCTGAGGTGTAAACTTAATTTAATTAACATTTATGATACATCTAGCATGTAAAATTTTAATAATGATAGATATCTGACAACTTAAAGAACAGATCTTTTATACAAATTATATTTGTCATCTTTCCTATTATAAGTAGGAAATGCAACCAAATTTAGTGTAATAAGTATAACATATTACATATTTGGCATGATCATGAGAATTTGTGACCATAATATATATTATCTTTTCAGCTTTTATGCTACATTAAAAATATAAGTGTAGCAAAAAATGTTTATAGCTACTAGATAGGTTGTTAGGTGTTAATTATTGTATGAAGAGTTGAATCAAGCCATTATACTATGGTTATAGTAATCATTGTAGGCAGCCGAGTCAACAGTAGTATAATTAAAATAAAACATATTTCAATCCAACTAAAAATTTATTTGACATATTGTGTCTCATTTATTCTTTAATTGCAAAACAAAAGGACAATGTTACAATTACTTAATAAACTAAATATATATATATAAATCTTTTTGTAATACAAATGTAGATATTTTTTTCATATTTTACATTTTAATGTTACTTCTTTGCAACAAGTATTCTTAAATAAATGAAATCTTAAGTGTACATCTGACTTTTGAATACATCCTTGCTATAGCCACAACTGTTAGTAAATTTTGAGTGAATAAATATATCATATTTTCATTTAATTATGCATGTAAAGTTATAGCCAACTAAAATTAGCAACTAATCTATATATAACGGTAAAGAAAGTTAATTACTCTACACTATACAATACTAATATATACATTCTATTTTTTGCCACAAAGTAATGCAGCATAAGATGCAAAATCAGCTAAGTGTATTTGTTCCTGAAAAAAAAACAATTTAAGCAGAAATTAATTATTACTTTGAATATACAAATAAAATAAAACAATTGTATTTTAAACTGATGACGATAAATAGATAGGCCTGGGTTTAACTTGAACAATATCTGCGTCGCGTTTTAGTAAATTTATCTCTATATTCGATTGGATTTCGAGCGCGGCGCAGATTGACTAAAATGCTAAGTTTACTGTATTGTTCTTGCATTGTTATGTTATTTTGTGATCACTGTTTACCAACGTTCAAATGATTTACCATGTCTGGAAGAAAATAAAAATTTCTAACTTTGGTGAAAATGAGACGCTACAAACCCGTTGCTTAATATGATTCAAAACAAGATATGAATGCCAAAACAAATGATAAATTGGAAATATCTCGATCAAGCTTTAAGCTTGCGATATCGCCGGAAAGTCTCTTATTAATCACGGACAAAATAGGTATCTAAAAAAATGTTTGTGATGCTGTAGAACAATAATATAGGAATTTTATTGCAGTGGAATAGCACCCTAAAAAGAATAATAAATTTATACACATGATCCCTGAATATATTATATACTACATATATAATATAAATATATGTGCGTCTAATATGTATTGCTTCAGTTAATGCTGGGATATTATAAATCTAAAAATCTATCTAGCTAATGAACTATATAGGACTCAAGTCATTACAGCCCGTCACAAGTCCACCACTGAACTTAGGCTCAATGTGAAGTATATAAATATTTAGTCTTTTAAAATTTGATACCTAGTTAGTAATAAAGTATCTTTTACCTTTAACTTTGTACTGCTGTTCAGTAAGCTGAAAATACCGTTAGAAAGACTAAATTCGCTTATAATAGCAGTGTAAGTTACTCCAATCCGAAGATTTTCTTTCAGCTGTAGACAGAAAAGTAATTTATCATCATGTTCAGTCAGCAATCAATATAATATACAAGTTGTTCAAAAAAGGTGAAAACTGTACAAATTATTTCAAATTTAATAAAGTAAATTTCTTTAAAAAATAATGAATACGAATATAAGGGCCTTGCTGTAAGTGATATATGGGGTTATTCCGTGTATATCCACCCTCGGGTGGATACTCGGAAAAGCGTGTTTGTTTATCCACCTTAGACAGGGTGGATAGTCGGAATTACTTTTTAATTGTTGTTCCGACTTTCCACTCCAAGTACAGTTCAACAGAAAATATATTCATAGTTTAATATGTTATTGATTAATTTTTAATAACCACAAACTTAAGCAATAATCATATTATGTATTGCATTTAAACCAAATTAAACTTCATCGTTTTAAATAATAATAGGTAATTTATAAATTATCCAACATGTCTAGGAAATGACCAACACTAATTTCATTATTGAGTAGACGTAATTGTATATCCATTGTTAGTAATTGTATATTATTGTTGTGTTAGCAAAAACTATGCGTTTTTAATTTCATCATTCAATCAATCCAAAAACTACTAAATTTGGATGTTTGTCTTTAATTTCATTTGATATAGTTATATGCTAAGATTCCAATAAATTTGTAGTTCTGTGAGACACTCCGAATTAATTTTAAAAAGCCACATAATTTTAGTCCTTGAGCCATGTCTTTTTTAGTAATTCACAATTAAAATACTTTATTTCCGAGATTGAAAAAGTATCTAAGAGGATATAGATTTGAAGATAATGAAGCAGTGGTCACTGCAGTATAGGAATTTTTAGGTTTCAAGATAAAGAAAGACTTCTATATAAAGGGAAATTTAAGCTTAGAAGAACACATTCCAAGTGTAAAGTAAAAGGTGACCATGTCGAACAAATAAAATAACATTTAATAAAAGTTACTTATTATCACTTTCTCTTAAACACTCATTCATCATTAGTATATAAATTTTAAAAATAAATCACCTGTGAATCCAAAGGCAATAAAACATTTGGTAACCAAGTTGATATATTTCTTGCTTCTAGTTTGTGAGCCATTAATATGGCAAGTTCTCTAAGAGTATCAACATTATTAGAATCTGTAATACAGAACACACACTGTAGATATAAGAGTATAGAACACAGTGAACAGTTTAATTACCTACTCTTAATAGTAATCAGTTGTGTAGTGACAGTGTAACAATCCATATCCAAATATCCACTACCCCAATATCACATCATACACCCACAGGGTGGTGTAGTAAGAGGTGACAAAGAGAAACAAATCAGGAGATGGGCAAAAGCACCTTCCCAATAACAACTAAAAAAACTGCAGTTGCAAACCCACTTGTCAAGCCTACTATGTCAAATATGAGCACCCTTATGAGGCAATCGGCTGCAACAGTAATGGTACTAATAGTATTTGCAATATAACTTTTTTTATAGAATAGTGTGACGAATGAGCCCACAGTCCACCTGACGGTAAGTGGTTGCTGTGATCCAAAGACATCTATATCTATCCTCAATAAAGAATCAAAATGCAAATGCGTTGTCACCCCTGACGACCCCATCGAGTTGGGGATTGATACGTATTTTTACATAAAAGTTGCACTATTATAAGCACACACATAAAGTTTCAATATGCGGAAACACGTACTTTTTGAGAAAAAACATTATTTGAAAATTAATTATTTTTGCAATGTTTATGTTACATTCCTAGCGTAAAACTGGCGCCATTTTGTAATGTCATTGTCGTCGTCAGTACGGATGTCGATTCTTTCCGAAAAAGATAGATTTTTAAATCGATTCTAATAGTAAGCTGTCGTGATATCACAAAAAATGGATTTCTAAAAAAAAATAGGTTAGGTTCTACTTATGTCAAAGAACCAAATTTATTGACCCCGACTCCACGTGGTACGAGTCTGTCGTACCCCTAGAGTGGTTATATAGAACCGGAGCGGCTGAGGCTGGTCGCCGAAGACGACCAACACGTAGAAGCTGCGGAGGCGAGGAGGGATGCCTGCAATTTGTTACGCAAAGGCGTAGAGGCTGCTCTTCCCGCAGCGCCGGAGACATTGCAATCTCAAAATATATACAGAAATCCCTCTGAATTAGTCTCCCTACACCTCTTCTCCCCCCCCCCCTCTCCCCTCAATTCGACGAATGTCAATGGAAATTCGTAATAAAGTAGGCTCAAAAGGGCTAGAACGCAGAGCCGTAAAGCCAGTTAAAAAAAAAACAACAAAATATTGTTAAAATAAGTGATTTTTATTAATTTATTTCTCAAAAAATACGTGTTTCCGCATATTGAAACTTTGTGTGTGTGCTTATAAAAATGTAACCTTTCTGTAAAAATACGTATCAACACCAAACTCGATGGGAGTAAATGGAAAGTCGTACCGGAATGCCTCATTTCCAGTAAAAAGGGTCTCCAATTCTCTACACTCACCATATGAAACAGCAGCATTAAGCAACTATTTTACGTTGGTATTCTGTGAGAGCGCGGTTCTTCCCTGGTCCGATAATATAGCAGCAGTGTGGCTTTACCATGAATAATAACTTTAGTATAATCAATCTTTAGGATGATGTTGATGAAAGTTGTAAATAAAATTTTACCTTCATAATCTAAAGCTAGGGCTATTTTATATGGAGCCATTTTATTGTGGAGTCGTAAATATTCTTCTTTGGTACTGTTCCATAATCCATCAAGTAAAATTGTAAATAAAGCATCTTCAAATGACATCTTGCAATTCAAATAGGAGGTTTCAGTGCTCTACAAATTTAAAATATTTTTAAGTAACATGAAAGATATAACTTATAAAGTATAATATTATAAAGTACTTATTACTTCTGTATTTATAGATATATTCTCAACAACTTTCTGGCCCCAATTAAAGTTAGCCAATATATTAACATTTGCTGCATTTCCATCTTGTTTAATGTCACTTAGCATAAATAGGCTTGGTGTTGTAGTTATCTGAAAATTACATTAAAATTCTATAAGGTACAAAAACATATATATATTTTTATAGTTCCAAGAATTAAGATACAATCTACACAATTACGAATATGTATTTGACGGCATAAATTCCATTTCATATTGGTGTGATGGGATTATGAGAGAGGCAAAGAAAGATTTTAGGACTTCTAACAGATGGTAATATAGCCATCCCATTTGTCAGCCATTAAATACCCAGTTCAGCAATGGGGATCAGTGTCAAAGATGCATAACGTCTGGTAATGGTCTACTAAGTGTGACAATTAAGGCATTTCCATCTCGCAACAGGAGAGGTCCATGGAAAACAGGACTTTTATGGGTTAACAAAGAAGAAAATTATATGCAAAGCAAATTAAACCTAAGCAAAATATTTACTGAATACAAGTTCATTAGAAAATATTTTTTAAATTTAATAATAGACTAGAAACACTCAAAAAAAGATTCTACTTACATCACTAATACAACATCTGCAAGGTTCTATCACAGCTGCAAGCAATGGAGTATATTTGTCTCATATGACGATTGCTATAGCATTTATCATCAGACATTTAACATTATTATTTCATTAATTTACTATATATGCCACGCTTGGCAGGCAGGTCAACCACAAGTTTTTTTAATAATTTTGAGTGTTATTTCGCTCTGTCGCCTCTTACGACAACCACGGGATGACATGCAATAGTGGATTCTTTTATGCTGCCACTACAAGGCTACAATAATCATCATGTGTATCATCAAACTAATCAACATTTTAACACACTATTTTAATATAAATTTGTTCCCAGCTTAAGCTGCTTTAGCTATCAGTCTAAATCAGGCTAAAGACTGGTCACCTAATTTTACAGAAATATTCTATAATTTATCCAATTGCTTTTCTCGACATTTTAAAATTAAAAGATTAAATTATCATACAGTCCTACTACCCGCAGTGTAGTACAAAGAACACTGCATTTTCTTGCTGAATGGATATACATACCCTGTGTAGTGAGAAAAGATACAGCCCTCTTATCATCAGCGGAGATGACAAGTCGCGGATATGGTTCCTTTAGGAACTTCACCGGACCTGTACCCCATGGACCTAGCAAATGGCACAAGTATATAGTCATATTTCAGAAAATTGTACTTTTAATTAATAGAATCAGCCATTACTTTGCAGAAATCCATTATATAAAAGCTTTTAGAAAAATTTACTTCGCAAATATCCGCGTTATAAAATAAAATGATGTGTCTTACCTAGTATGAAGAGCACCTCCCGCCCTCCCTCAATTGCGTGCACTATCCCCGTCACCACTAATCCCAGCACCGCTACTCCCAACACCACTACACTAGGCAAGACACACCACTGACAATAATACGACACGTGTTTCGCCTCTACACGAGGCATCCTCAGGTGCTATAGACTCTACGGTGACTAACCGCTAAGTGAGCGGCGAGCCAAAACAAGTGCCTTTTATGCAGACCGATGACGCAACCGCTCTCTACTTAAGGAGCGAGCGACTGCGTCATGCGATAAAACATGCGACCAATCACTGCCGGACTTACGCTGCCGTTTGTAAAATTAAAAACAAACCGCCGCGCAACGCCCACCCTCCAACCACGCAACCAATCGCCGAACACAGTGAGGGTGACAAACGATCATATTGCGTGGCTCTCTATTATTAGAGAGCAGGCTTAAAGATATATAAGAGAGGTGAGTTATTAACATTTGTTTGTTCATTCAGCAATGCAACGGTACTATTGTTACTTTTTAATATCTCTAACTGTTCCAGCACACATGTGTAAAAAGTCTTACATACGTGTAATAAAGGGCTGCGGCTATTTTATAACGCGGATATTTGCGAAGTAAATTTTTCTAAAAGCTTTTATAAATTGTACTTGTGCCACTTACTCAGGTTCAGTCATCGTTGATCCCGCTCTGTCTCTAAATAAGATACTCCTTAGGTAAGAGGCTACAAGAGTCTATGCATTTAGCATTTCACACTAAAGCTTTACCTCTCTCCCAAGTGACCAGTCATACCATCGGATCTCCTGTCATTGTCTCTAAATATTCCACAAGGCTCCAAATTCAAAAGAATATTTATAGAGACAAGAGCTTTTTGGATGACACATCATTTTTTTTAACAGTATGATAATTTTAATTTTTAATTTTTTTATAAAATAAAGTGATAAGTGAGCACACAGCCAACCTGATGGTAAGTGAGTCTGTTGTGGCCCATAGACATCTATGTCTATTCTCGATTAAGAATCACATCACAGATGCGCTGTCACCCCTGAGGATTAAGATGGTATTCCTTGTTTCCAGGTTTTGCATTTCTCTACACTCACCATACGAAACAGAGTAACATTGAGCTGCTACTTTACACTGGTATTCTGTGAGAGTGTGGTCCTTTCCTGGTCGAGCTGACCCATCCCTGCTACAACCATAATATAGCTATAACATGGCTCTACCACATACAAAATTTATATTATTGTATATTTTAATGTTATCTAAATAAATGATTTTATTCCTCATTTGTAAAAAAAAATTACAAACAGTATAAATATTTATGCCTGAAAATTGACAAATTTAAAAAATCTAAAATAAATACTAACTGAACTCCACCAATATTTCCTATATCTCTGCCATTGCATGAAAAACTGCATTATATCTTGTGAAGGCACCACTAGGTTGAGACACAATTCTGAAGTTGTTTTTAAATCTGTATCATCCATTTTGAATTGCCTAATTTCTTGTTTCTCGAATTGTAGCATGTTTTGGTTTATCCATCCATATGGTAATGTTTGTTCTTTATTTAAAATAAAAGCTTTTGATTTATTTAAAAACACTGGAAAATTATTATTTGTCTTAGAATATATAAATTGAAGCCATTGGGTATATATATTTCGCAACAGGATTTTGCTTGCTGTATCAAATGAAAAAATAATACTTCTTTCATTTGATTTAATAACATTGAAGAAGTTTTGCAAATTAATAACTCTTTTAATTTCAGTTCTCATTTTCCTTTAAAGACTGGTTACATTCATTATCATTTACTTCATGTAAGGGAATGTTGCCTGGTGGTGCAACAAAGTAATCATCTTCCGTTACTGTAGCATTTTTAAGTATGTCTGTTTGACAGTTTCCTTGTGTTACTTTATCAAAACGAAGGCTAAGATTTCTGAAAAATATATAATTAATAATTTTATTAACCCTCAAAATGTTAAAGTTACATGTATTATCAATCACAATATTTTATTTACTTGTATTAGTTATATTTCATTTAAGAATTAGTAGATAAAGAAATATAAAATCATTGTCTTATAAGCAGTTACAACTGACTTAGGGACCTTCAAGAAAAGAACCTAAACCTTTAAAGGCTGGCAAGCACCTGTAATTCCTCTGGTGCTGCAGATGTTTATGGGCAATAGTGATCACTAACCATCAGGTGACCCATATGCTAGTTTGGCTTCTCATCTATAATGAAACATTATTTCAATGTAAAAGTAAATTATTAGAAATTTATATTATTTTAATTACAAATAAATTCAGTGGTTCTTTTACTTATAAAATTGTAGACCTGCATGTAATTTATCATTATTATATAGCATGAGCTTGCATTTATACAATGATAAAGAGTAACATGCTGGTTATAACATCTTTTCCTCAAACTCCTTCTTAATGCATATTAAACTGTCTAGAATAGTTTCACCTATCATAAAATATAAATTTATAAGGGAAAAAAAATGTTTTTTTTACATACTCGTTTTCTAAAACTGAATATAACGGTTCGACATTGTCTGTATTTATATGAAGGATTTTGTCAGCAAATGATATAGAATCTTCTAATACTTCCACTCCCTCTATATTATTACATTTAACTAAAGAAAGTCTCTCTAAAAGAGCTATAGTGTTTGAGTCAACTTTCAACTTAGGACTTTGTCGATTTTCCAACGTAACAACTGGCGCTGCAGGTATTTTTGTAGAAAATCGTTTTGACAGAAGTCTAAAGAAAAGTATTTTACTTGTAATATTATTAAAGTTCATAATTTTAAATTAGGAGAAAAGAGCAGGTAATCTATACAAAAATCAAACTATTTTGTATTTAATGCTTATGTAAATGTTCTTTTTAATTTTAGTTTTGCACACTGCACACTATTACAAACTCTTAAACTAGGCTCACAAAAACAAAACAAATATGCCAAAATCAAGATTCAAGAATAAACTAAGTTTATAGTCATAAATTATTAGGTAGGTCTCATCTCATTCAAGATTACAATTTACAAGAATTCGCAAGAATTCAACTTCCTTCCACTGACAGCTGGATGTCAGTATATATTACTATACTCTTTGGATGTCAGGTGGTGTCAGTGTCAGTCTACGTGTCAGTCACGGAATATAGTGGAACTCTTCTCTTTTTTTAAATAAGATATTTGGCTTGGATGTTGATTTTTAAGCCGTCTTCATTTTTATCTCAATAAAAAGTGATAATAATCCTTTATAACACACTGCTTCACAATATGTTGATGCATCACATTGCGTGTTTTTTGAGAGATTTTGACGGTAACATGAGCCAGCAGTCACTTGGCGATAGTATCCCAAGCCACCTAAGCAGACATATACCTTATCTTGAGATCCACATCACCATCGAAGCACTTGTTTCACTGTTTCCACAAATAATTCACATGCGCAAACATTTAATACATAAAATCGTACCACTTTTACATATCAAAATCAAATTCAAACCATTGTTTAGGCAATAATACAGGAGTAGCAATCCGCCGTCGGTCAAGTTCCCGTCAAAACTCAGAGGATTACTCTTCAGATATTATGAAATTTTTTTCTGTGCTGTGTCACATGAGTAAAGAAAGCGTACATAGGAAAAGCTTATAAGGAGCTGTCAAAATTCTTACCTATTTTGGTAGGGTTGATACAGGAGGATAATATTAAATAAACAAAACATCAGGTTTTTTATTACAAACTGCTTACTATAAATATTTTATAAAAGCTTTTACAAAAATTTACTTCGCAAATATCCGCGTTATAAAATAAAATGATGTGTCTTACCTAGTATGAAGAAGCACCTCCCGCCCGCCCTCAATTGCGTGCACTATCTCCGTCACCACTAATCCCAGCACCGCTACTTCCAACACCACTACACTAGGCAAGACACACCACTGACGATAATACGACACGTGTTTAGCCTCTACACGAGGCATCCTCAGGTGATATAGACTCTACGGTGGCTAACCGCTAAGTGAGCGGCGAACCAAAACAAGTGCCTTTTATACAAATCGATGAGGCAACCGCTCTCCACCTAAGTAGCGAGCGACTGCGTCATGTGATAAAACATGCGACCAATCACCGCTGGACTTACGCAACCGTTTGTAAAATTAAAAACAAACCGCCGCGCAACGCCCACATTATTAGAGAGCAGGCTTGAAGATATTTAAGAGAGGTGAGTTAGTAACATTTGTTTGTTCATTCAGCAATGCAACGGTATTATTATTACTTTTTAATATCTCTAACTGTTCCAGCACACACAGCCGCAGCCCTTTATTACACGTATGTAAGACTTTAAAGGAGTGGTCGTTGGCTAGGTTGTGTCCAGTGTCCAAAAGATGTTTGGCAAAATGGGATTTATCGGGATTGCAATTCCTGTACGCGGCTAAATGCTCTTTATAACGTGTCTCGAAATTGCGACCAGTCTAACCCACGTAAACGGCGTGGCATTCGTCACAAACAAGTTTGTAAACACTTGACTTTTGACGAATATCCAACTTATCTTTACTATTACAGATATTTCTAAGAGAATTGTTTGTTTTGAACGCCACATGAACGCCGTTTTGTCGAAGAGTATTAGCTACTTTTTCAGATATGGGGCCTAAGTAGGTCAGACTGCTCACATATCGATGAACACTTTGAGGTTGAACCGCGTACAGAGAGTTGCGAATAACATGCTTTTGTTTCTTTTTAATTAAATTTTTAATGAGATTTTTTGAAAAACCGTTAGAGACCGCTATTTGATAAATTATATTAAGTTCTTTTAAATAATTTTCTTTACTTAATGGGACAGTGAACAAACGGTTAATGTAACAATAAAAAGCGGCTACTTTATGTTGCCATGGATGACATGATGACGCGGGGATGACCGTGTCGGTGTGAGTTGGCTTTCGATAAATTTGGAAAACATGTGACGATTCTTTTCTTGTTATTGTTAAGTCAAGAAAATTAAGGGAACAATCTTGTTCCAATTCAAGTTTAAATTTAATTTTGTCATGGACTCTATTTATTTTATTGAGGAAAACATCCAGTTGTCTCCTTGTGCCAGTCCAGCAAATAATTATGTCATCTACATATCGATAGTAATATAAGATATTTTGATTGACAACTATATGTTGTTTTTCGAAATTATCCATGAAAATGTCCACCATAAGGGGACTTAGAGAGGACCCCATAGCTAACCCTTCTTTTTGTAGATAGAAACGGTTATTAAACCGGAAATAGTTTTGTTTCATACAGAGAGAGGTTAAGTTAAGAAGATCATTTGTTTCCCCGGGATGTAGACGACGTTTTTCAAAGAGATCTGCGAGTATACGCAAACAGTCAGGGGATGGGACATTTGTTTTTTTTTTATTTTTATAGGAGAGGGGGCAAACGAGCATGCGGCTCACCTGATGGTAAGTGACTACCGCCGCCCATGAACAACTGCAACACCAGGGGAATCGCAGATGCGTTGCCGGCCTTTTAAAAACGAGTACGCTCTTTTCTTGAAGGTCCCTAAGTCGTATCGGTCCGGCAAAATCGCTGATGGTAATCGATTCCACAAGGAGGTCGTGCGAGGAAGAAAACATCTTCTAAATCGCACAGTGGTGGACCGCCAATCATCCAGATGGTGTGGATGGTATCGGGAGTTCTGCCGCGATGTGCGTTCGTGAAATTTGGTGGCTGGGATTAATCCGAACAATTCCTCAGAGCACTCCCCATGGTAGATGCGAAAGAAAATGCAAAGGGATGCAACATCTCTTCGCAGTGCCAATGAATCGAGCCGATCGGAAAGGGCTCGGTCGTCGACAATTCGAGCCGCTCTGCGTTGGATGCGGTCAAGTGGAAGGAGCTGGCACTGGGGGGCCCCTGCCCAGAGATGGGAACAGTATTCCATGTGAGGCCGAACTTGCGCCTTGTAAAGTAGCAGGCGGTGTACCGGCATGAAATACTGTCCCGCTCTGCTGAGCACGCCAAGCTTTTTAGAGGCCAATTTGGCCTTCCCTTCCAAGTGACCACGAAACTGCACGTCACTCGATATGTCGACTCCGAGGATACCGATACTGGCTGAGGCAAGAAGGGGAGTGCCTTGAAACTGAGGAGATACGACAAAGGGGTTCTTTTTAGCGGTAAACGCGCAAACTTGTGTCTTCTGAGGATTAAATTGGACTAGATTTAGTCGCCCCCAATCCGAGACTTTGTTCAGCAAAGACTCGACTTCAGACACAAGTTTGTTCCGGTAAAAGACTATCAACGTCTAAAGATAACAATATGGATTTAGGAGGAATACGAATATCTTTAATTTTGGAAATGAGATCTAAGCCATTTTTTAGGCTGTAAGTGGGGTTGAATCCAGATTTCTCTCGAAGGAGGAAGTTTAATTTTTTAGCAAGGAAATAAGCTGGTGCACCAATATATGAGACAACTGGACGAATAGGAACATGTTCTTTATGTATTTTTGGTAACCCATATAAAATGGGTGCTTGAGGATTCATTGGAACAAGATTGCTCCGAGACAAGTTGTGATCGGGAAAAACATATGATGATTGTTGTATACATAACTTAATATCCGAAGTAAACTTTTTGGTTGGGTCAGACTCCAATAGCTCAAAGTCATCACCTTGGATAACATCGTTAACTTTCTGGCTGTACCCACTACTCTCCATAATAACAACAGTATTGCCTTTATCGGCTTTAGTAACAATAAGGTCGTTTTCCCTTATTCTCTGCTTTAGGGACTTAAAAACAGGGAACTCAGGATTGAAATGGGAAGACGCGGGCACAGCCCGAATTTCATTAGCTACCAAACTTTTAACGATGTTATCTTTCTTCCCGATCACAACAGCCACCTCCGCGTCAACAGCCATAGTCTCTAACGATTTTTGGGAGACCGAAGGTGTTAAATTATACTTTAGGCCTTTATGTAAAAGGGACAACTCATCTGTTGGAAACTGGACATCGGAAAGATTTTTAACTCGGGGATAAAATTGGTGATATTCTGTATGTATGTCGTTATTACGATTACGCGATGAAGAGGATACAAGTCGTTGTAATTTACGGGACTGAATTTGATATTTCTCATAAACAGCCATTGAAGCAAGTTCTCTGGCTTTCCCATCCAAAATATCAAATTCAATATTATGTAATTTATATGAAAGTTCAGAGTATAATACTTTAAGGTGGATTTTTAAATTATCTCTATTGGAAAACCAACGACGACACTCCTCATTAAGCCAAATGTTCTGAGCTTTAGAAATAGCAATACTGGCCGCTCGACTATTTGTGCTGGAACGTATTTGAATATAATTGGGAATAACATGAAGTTGTTTGCACTGCTGATTGAACCAAACATTTTGGGCAGCAATACGATGGAGTTTTGTTAATTTGACATAGAGTCTTGCCTGGTCGGCCGTGCTAGCCTTTTTAATATAATTAATAGAATCAGGCGTTACTTTGCGGAAATCCATTATATAAAAGCTTTTACAAAAATTTACTTCGCAAATATCCGCGTTATAAAATAAAATGATGTGTCTTACCTAGTATGAAGAAGCACCTCCCGCCCTCCCTCAATTGCGTGCACTATCCCCGTCACCACTAATCCCAGCACCGCTACTTCCAACACCACTACACTAGGCAAGACACACCACTGACGATAATACGACACGTGTTTAGCCTCTACACGAGGCATCCTCAGGTGATATAGACTCTACGGTGGCTAACCGCTAAGTGAGCGGCGAGCCAAAACAAGTGCCTTTTATACAAATCGATGATGCAACCGCTCTCCACCTAAGTAGCGAGCGACTGCGTCATGCGATAAAACATGCGACCAATCACCGCTGGACTTACGCAGCCGTTTGTAAAATTAAAAACAAACCGCCGCGCAACGCCCACATTATTAGAGAGCAGGCTTGAAGATATTTAAGAGAGGTGAGTTAGTAACATTTGTTTGTTCATTCAGCAATGCAACGGTATTATTATTACTTTTTAATATCTCTAACTGTTCCAGCACACACAGCCGCAGCCCTTTATTACACGTATGTAAGACTTTAAAGGA